CCCAGGCATGTGCCCTCACTGGGGAGCTGACCAATGACCTCTTGGTTTGCAGGCTGGTGCTCAACCCACTGAGCCACACCAGCCAGGGCATTATCCTTTCAAAAAGAAGTTTTAGTAGACGGTTCACAGCTATGAGAGCAGGTTGGGGGTAAAAGCATGACTGTAGCCCATTCTCTTGATCTGATTTTAAATCGTATACAGTACTTAAAATTTTAATTTCATTAAAAAGCTATCTAATTTTTTCAAAATTCAAATCAAGATCTCATGATGGACTAGATCCTGGAAACATCATTTTATATTATTACAATGAATGAGTAACTTAATCCCAGTTTTAAAATGGGAATGATGCCCTAATGGCAGAAATCTTTCCTGTGCTCTAAATACTACTATAAGAATTTTAGAGAAATGACCAAAAGGCCAGTGTGGCAGGGCTGTGTTTATTTTAAGGCAAGAGTATCCCAAATAAAGAGAAGACAGCTTGGTCCTGGCTGGTGTGGATCATCCTGTAGACCTAAAGTTCGCATGTTCGATTCTGGGTCAGGGCACATACTCAGGTTGAGGGTTTGATCCTCCGCTGGGATATGTATGAGATGGCAACTAATCCATCTCTCTCTCTCTCTCCCCCTCTTTCCCTCCCCCCGCTTTCTAAAAAAAGCAATAAAACAGTGTTCTCGGGTGAAGATTAAAAAAAGGAAGAAGACAGCTTGGGAAGCACTCACCATCAATCAAGAAATCCCAGCAATAATGCTTAAGTTAAAATTTTATTCAATTTTAGTCATACTGAAAACTTTATCTATGGAGCAAAATTTTCCAAAATCTTTGATTTACTCATGCTCATAATATAACCTATTATAAAATTATTCTTTATTAGCAACATGGGAAATTTGTGTTATATGCTAAATATAAGAATTTGAAGGCCATATGCCACATTGCCTCTTCCATTCCTCTTTTTCTCTGTGTCGATCCATCTTGGCACAAAGCCAAGGTAATTTCCAGAATTTGGCAGTGCTCTGGCAAGTGCACAGCTGCTGCTGTCTCCAACTCTTGCCTACTAATTTTGCACAAACCACTTCCTCCTTCTGGTGCTGAGAAAGTCACAGGCCAAGGGGAGTGTGCCTAGAGGGCTGTCCTGTGGACAGGTCCCGGAGGCCCTGCGAGGGTGGGAGCGGCACCACCTCACCTGCAACCCTGCCTGCCTTGCCCTTTTACCCCTCTGCTCCTCCTCATCTTTCTCCATTTGACTCTCAGTGTTTAAAAATCTTGCCTCCTTTGTGTCTTCTTCTAATAAATAAATAGCTTTGACTCCTCATGAATTAAAAGACCTAGTCAGCTCCCCTGAGGGTGCCTGAGCCAAATGTGGCCAGGGAGCGAGGGCCTGAGAGGGCAGAGACGGAGGCAGAGATGGTGGGGCTGCTCGCCTTCCCTCACTTTCCACCTACCAGCTCCTTCCCTGTGCGGCGGCAGTGTGGGTGTGCGCACCAACGCAGGTAAAATCGAGATATTTTTATCCTCATACACTCTTCTTAAATGTGGCGTTTGGCTCCGATCATATTTGAATATAGTCATGGCAATGATTTCTTTCATTTTGTTCTTATGTTTCTCCATTTCCCTGCCTCTGTTGGCTGAGAGTGGAGTTGGTACTCTTGGTGAGCAGAGGCGAGCCTTTCACCGCACATCTTTACCCGCGCGTGAGGTGCCCCTCGCCTCTGCCCGCTTCCGGAGGTGCGCCCAGTCCCCAATGGCTGTGTGGCCTTGCACTGCTCTGTTGGCGGGTGCATGGTCACCCCTCTAGGTGAATGCTTGTGCTCCCCTAGAGCTTTAGTTCTGAAAGCTTTAGTTCTGGAATAACACTGTGAATTACTATTGTTTTTGTCACCAGCGGTCAATATCATGGCTATTTGTTCTCTTATCTGAATAAATGATCAGACTAGGGGCAGAGCAGAGGATGAAGAAGAAAACTTATCCCAGCTCTGCCACTAATTAGTTGCTGTATTGAGCAAGTCAGTAATCTCTCTGAGAATTGCTTCTTATATATAAAACAAGTAGGTTGGATTGTATTCCTTGAAGGTCCTGTTATTCCTTGATCTCATAAATATCAAACTGAATGTGATGACCAGGCTGAAGTCCTCTTCTTTAGACTCATTCCCAGGTCCAGTGGGAACAGGTCCACCTCATGCGCACCCTTAACCTCTTAGAAATGGGAAGAGATTACAAAACAAACATGTGTTTTTCTAACTTTTGGGGTATGAGCTCATTCCAATATGATGTCATCAGGGAGAAACTCAGGATAAAAATGGACAGAACGGAAATTTACCAAGAATTAATATAAAGTCCTGTAGTTTGGTTCAAAGAACAAATTGCACAAGTAGGTGTTTGGCTGAAATTCACATATACATTTGGGTATTAGCATTATCCTCAAGTCTAATGTGAGCCAAGAGCATAATGGATGCCCTGTGCTGTATAGGATAACCACGAGTCCCCACGGCAAAGGCAGACTGGAAGGAACTGCTGAGGCAGTGGCCAGGTCAGACAGTCTGAAGTCAGCAGTCTTCAAAGAGATCAAAGGCAGAGCAAGGTTGGAGAGGCCAAAGGCAAGACACAGCTCAAGGTTGTGGCAGGAAGTCAGCAAGAAAGCAAAATGAGGGAATCAGTAACGTCAAAGCTTACAGATGAACACAAAGGAACGAGGTGGGGAGATTGGAGCCCAGGGGATGGGGGTCCATTCAGCAAACAGGTGTTACTGTAACAGATGAATTCATCTTTTTTCTCCTTCCCTCCCTCCCTCCCTCTCTCCCTCCCTTCCTCCCTCCTTTCTTCCTTTCTTCCTTTCTTTCCTTTCTTTTTCTTTCCCTTTTTACCCCAACCTTGTATTCCCAGGCAGCTGCCCAGCCCCTAAATGTCTCCATGCTGCAGAATTTCAGTTACCACCCCTTACATGCCCTGGTTGTTTCTGCCTCTGCTACTGAATATTCTTATTCCTCCCTGACTTCCTTTCTTCTGTCCTGAAACATATCTCTCTTTCAAAAGTTCATCTCAAGTCCTGTCTCTTTCCTTCAGCCCAAGTTAACTACTCCTACCTTAATTATTGTTTTGCTTCTCATGGCTCTATGTAACAGAATATGGCACATTTGTCATGGTGGGGAGGCAGCGGGGACAGTCAAGAGGTGATTTCCTTGATGTAATTATTAACTCCTTAACTAGTTTGTAAGCTTTGAAAGGAAGGAACTGTGTCTTTCAGAGTCTGCATGGCACAGGAGAGAGTTTGGGGATAAGGAAAAATAGCCTGGTCATCAACCCTGGCACCGTGACCTTTAGCATGTATTTGTCTGTAGGCTTTAGTGTCCTTCTCTGAAAAACAGGGGTAGTGATTCCAGGCTCTGTCTTCCATATACAGGGGATCAAATGTTAGATCAAGATCAGAAACAACAGTATTTTTTAACCAGGGAAGCACTTTAAGAAAGTAAGGGTTATCGTAAGAGGTGCCATTGTGTTATAAGGAAGGCAAGGGACTTTCGGAATCTGAATTTTGAGTTAGATTTTAATTCATGCTCTACCACTTGCTCCATATATAATCTTAGAAAAGTTTTCTGCTTCTCTGTAAAATGACAAGACCCTCTTACAAGGATTATTAGTGTTAGAGCTGGTTTATACACTAATTTGTAAGAGCAAGTTGTCAAATATTTAGTAACTTTGCAAGCAAGCGAGAGGTTGTTAAACAGTTATTAGCTTGAAATCTGCCATGGTGGGAATATTTATCCCAGGGAAATCACGAACACTATATATTGGATTGTTGGGATTTTTTTTCTGGAGAGCTGGTTTACCAGCATGTCACTGAATTATGTAAACAGGGCTCTGTAAACTGTAAAGCTTTGTCTTGATCATCATTAAAAGTAGTAATGGCAACAAGTAATGTTCTGTATCCACAGAACCTAGCCTATCGTATGGCACAGCTCTTAGCACATGTTTAATAAATACATCTTTAATTTAACTTGTGTTCACCTTTGTATGATTTTGATACATCTTCCTCAGAGCTAAAGGAACACCCATCTTTACCTCTCTTCAAACTCCTTTCTACAAAGTGTCTTTTTTTTTAATCAGTTAACAAAAATAAAAGCCTGGTTCACTGCATGACAGTAGGCCTTAAAACCTCTCTGTCTATAACTGAACTCGTTACCTTCTTTCTAAACATGCTTTTCTTCTGATATTTCATGTCTCAGTTAATGACATTGCCCCTCTACCCATTATCCCAGGGGAGTTATCTGAATGTTATTCCTCCCCTCTCCCTTTCCCTTACCCACTTCTATGTCTGATTGGTCACTAGATCTTACCAATTCTACCTCTCACCTCTCTCCCCTCATCTCGTAGCCTGCTTCCTGGCTCACAGACAGCTGTCTTCTCACTGTGTCCTCACATGGCAAAAAGGCAAAGGAGCTCTCCAGGGTCTCTTCTAATAAGGGCACTAATCCCATTCATGAGGACTTCACCCTCACAACCTAATCACTTTCCAAAGACCCTACCACCAAATAGCAACACAATGAGGACTTGGTTTCAACATATGATTTTGGAGAAGACACAAACATTCAGTTTAAAGCAATGTATTAATGCAAAATGCTTGGAATATGTTGAAAAACATGACAATATAATGCCCTGCCCCCTGCCCTGCTCAATCTAACTGCCTAGAATTAACTATTGTTAATTTTTGAGATAGATCCTTCCAGTCTTTTTACTTGTATATTGTGTTTATGTATCCTTTTTAAAAACAGTTTTTATTGTATATGTTATTCTAACCTGTTTTTATATTAATATGTCATGGATATTTTCTCATGTGAAGCAAATATTCTTCTACAGCATGATTTTTAATTACTGCACAATATTACACCATGTGGATATACACTGCTTTTTAATCCCATTGTTTCAATGTCTTTGTTATTATAGACAGAAATGTAGTAGTACAATGACTAAGGAAAGGATGACCTCATGTCCTCCTCCTGTTTCCCCAGGTTTTGGAGCCCTCTCTTACATCAAAGCTCTATTGGAATAGTCCTCTGAGTGTCATCTCAGGACCGTGGGCACACTCATGGCACGATGGCCGGCCCTCAGGAGCACCTGAGCTGCTCCTCCTCCCCACACGTACCCTTGAATGAAAACAAAACCTGCAGTGGACTACAGGATGAACTCGCCCCAGGGGGGAGCCACCCCTCACCCACGCTCCTTAAGGACCAGCACGAAAAGGGGGTGGTGCAAACAGAGCTGACCGAGGGCATGCACAGCCCCGTCGCCACAACAGCGTTGACAAGTGTAAGCGAGGACTCCAGGGACCAGTTTGAGAACAGCGTTCTTCAACTAAGGGAACAAGACGAATCGGACATGGCCGTGTCTCAGGGGAACAGCAACACTGCAGATGGAGAGAGCGGGAGTGGGACTGATGACGTCAAGATCCAGTTCAGCAGGTCGGGCAGCGGCAGCGGTGGGTTTCTTGAAGGACTATTTGGATGCTTAAAGCCTGTGTGGAATATCATCGGGAAGGCATATTCCACTGATTATAAATTACAACAGCAAGGTAAGCTATAACATGAACCTGGAAGATATTTCTTGTGTAAACACACCATCGTCATTAACTAGTGCCAAATGAATACCTGTATCAATTTCCCATAGACCTTCTGAATGGAACAGATGCACATTGGGTTGGGTCGTTATTTATTTATTTATTTTGTTTGTTTGTGTTTGGCTGAAGCCCATCTTCTATCGTTGTCCTGTCCAGTGGTGTCCAAAGTAGAATACAGATAAGACAATCCGTGGTGTCATAAGGAAGAAGAAAATGTTAGAGATTCTGTTTCTTATATTGTCATTTAAAATTTCTATTTTCATGCACGTTTTTATATATATTTTGTATTTTAATAAAGTTGTGTAGATATCTAATTTATAAATAAATCACATAATATTTGCAAATTCAAAATTTTTTAATTGAAAGTTTATATAATCAGGAAGTCTGATGGCCACCAGACTGATTCAAAACCAGGCAGAACCCACATGGCACTGCCTGACGATTTCAGGCCTGCCTGAGGTTGTAGGAAAAGGCATTTTTTTCCTCCAGTCAAAGCACAGAAAGCTCACATTTTGAGGAAAGACAAAATATCTAACCATTCTTGAGAAGCACTATTATTTTTAGGTCCCACTGCTTTTTAAAAAGTAAATTTTTAACTCCCACCATTGTGTAGCATGTATGATTATATATTCCCATTCAAGCATTATGATTTTGAAGTGAAGAGAACACATAGCCCTAGCGTTCTTTATAACTTCATTTATATTCTTTAAAAGAACTTTTATTCCTGATAACAAAAGTAATATATGTAGAAAATTTGGGTCATACAGATAAGTTCCTCCAAAAAAGTTAAAATAATCTATGATCCCCAGTATCCTGAGAATAACACCATTAATGTTTTTGGTATCTATTATATTGGTCTCTTTGTGTGTTTGTGTGCCATTAAAAAATGTCATACCATTTTTCACTTCATAATGTGACTATTTCCTATATTATCAAATATACTTCATCAGCATCATTTTTAATGGCTGCATGATATTAAATTGTGTGAATATGCCAGTATTTATTTAAGAAATCCTCTATTGCTTAACAATTCATCGACTGTTTTTAGTGATTATAAGCCACACTTCAGTGAATATCTGTCTATTACTTAATATTCCCACATATCTTTGCTTATTCTTTGGGATAAATTCCTAGAAGAAGAATAGTTGGGTTCAAATGGTTTGTTGCCAGTAAGGCCTTTGATACATACCTTTGTAGCCTTGTCTAAATGATTCAGTTGTTATGAGATCTCTCATTTTAAAATTTTGGAAAAGAAAAATATGGGCCAGAAGTAAGATTCTGTTGTGTTTACTTTATAACTGAATGTTGGACTCTATGACCCTCCCTTAAAAATATATACATCTCTTTTAATCAGGACTGTTCACGGCTTTTGCACAATAGCCAGTCAACATTAGTTACCACTAACCACTTTCTCATACATTCTGTTTTTCCTATTTGTGAAATACTTATCTTAAACCAATGCCAACCTCTCCCTCTGTACCCCTTATCCAAAGGTATATTGGAATTTACTGGTGTATCTGTTGATTCCAGGTGTACTTTTCAGGATTTGTCAACCACAGTCTCTATTCCAGCTACACGCAGAAATTCTTTGTCAGTACCTGGATTTTGCCTGCCTGCCTGCCTGTTTGTCTGCGTGTCTCTCTTTTTCATACATACCCCCATACTCTGCACATCCCACGTTTTCCCCCTTCCATGATCCTAAGCTTTCAAGAAAATTAAAAAATTACTCCTTATCACTGAAAGGTCGGGGACTCCTATGTTAAGCTCTCTCATTATTTTTTAACTTTGGAATAAAGATAAGCATAAAAAGGAAAATAAAAATGACTTGTCATCCCATAATCAGAGATAACCACCCTTAAATAATTATTTTTTAAAAGCTCCCTCTTCTTTGCTTAGACACAAAACCTACAAAGGTCTGCTTATGTGATAAACTACATTTGGTTTTTAGGATCTTAACTTGTCCAGTCTCTTAATTATTTTTGTGGTAATTTGAAGTTCTCAGGATCCAAATGCAATGTTGAGGTTCAGACACATAAAAGGTATAAAAGACACATTCTGTGTTTGTGAAAAGGAGTCTTAAAATTTTTTTTTATCTTTCTATTGACTTGTATTTAATTTGTCTTCCATTGATAATGACTTGCAGAAAGGCTTAGTGCAAGAATAAATAAGAAACAGGCCTGGTCAGGGTAACCTTGCAAGGACCTAGCAGCTGCCTAATTCTTCAGCAGATGACAAGATAGCCTATTGTGGGCTGGTGTTGCTGTGGGCTGTAAAGGAGATTTGCTAGCCAGAAACTAAGTGTAGTTTTTTCCTTAGCAGTTCTGGGATCAGAGAGATAATCGTTAATCCCGGATTATAGTCCACCAAAGGATAGCGCATGGAACAGATGTGTCCCTGCATTTGGTACTTATGGGGAAATTTCACTAGATTTTAAAAAATTTTCTCCCATTTAGTTTGTTGGTAGTAAAGTCCAAGTAAGGTAGTACTATGTGTAATTGAAATCTTTTATCTCCAGATAGTTCCCAGTCTCAAAGCAAGCATTGTCAGAGACATGTCTGAATAAACAAAGGAGAATTTATGCATTAAACGTGGGTGGGCTTGTGGCTTTTTCTCAGTCTTAAAAATCATGGTGGATATTGGATGTAAGATAGTAGTCATAGTGATGAATCAGAGAGAAGGTAAAAGCCGGGGAAGAGCACCAATGGGACACAGGTAAAAGCAGCAGAAAGTCTGGGACGAACGCTGTGGGGAGCACAGCCAGTTTTCACTGTTAAGAGGTTAATGATCTCATTCTTCAATGATCTAGGCCCCCAATTTCTCATAATTCTTATTGCTGTTTTTTTCCTCTGCCATTTTTCTGATGCTTGCCTCCTTACTAGATATTGACAGGGACATTGGGACAGGACAAGGAAACTAAATCACATCCATCAGTTTTACTTCAGGTAATCAGTTCTAGTAATAAGGTTGATTCAAAGGTGGTTGAAGCATTACTTTATTTTCCACTCTGTATTCTTGCATTACCAATGCTATCCCCTTTGCTTTTCCATGGGTAGTTAAGACTTGGCTGAATAACACAGGCTTGACCTACTGTTGATAGAAGGCTATTATATTCCTTATTATAATATCCTTAACCTTTTGTGTTCAAGTGCAAATTTGTATTTTAATAATTCATTTATTTCTCATTTTATAAAAATAATAAATGACATTGTTTATTTAAAATATAGTAAATTACAATGTAAGCATTATAAAATGATATGAAAGAAAGAGTTATTTAACAAATTGTTTTGGAATCACTAAATAACATCATGAAAAAATTCATTTAAATCAGTCCTCACATTCTACACGAAAATAAACTCAAGATGGATGTAAAGGTTAAACATTTTAAAAAATCAACTATCGATCAACTCTTAGAAGATAGAGTAGCCAGTAGAGGAAATTACAAAGGAAATTTTAGGCAACCACAAAAATTTTTTTCCAAAAAATAATAAAATTAAAAGAAAGAGTCTTTTGTAAAACATAAATTCTCTTCATATTTTCAAATATAAAGGAAACTCCTTCAGATTTGTGAGAACTACAAGACCCTACTAGATAAATGGACAAAGGATAAATTTGACAATTCATACAAAGCAGATGTGAGTATTAAACAAATGTAAAGAAAATATTCTTCATCACTGGCAATTCAAGTAGTACAAAGTTATAAAACATTATTTTATACATAGATAAATTAGCACCAAAAAATAATTAGCAATATTCAAGTCTGGCAAAGTTGTTGTAAAAGAGACACACATTGCTGCTCTCAGCAAAAACTAGCAAAAATCCTTTTGGAAAGCAAATTGGAATGTGTACCAACAGCCAGGAAACTATACTCTTAAATCTAAGGATTGAGTTTTAGGAAATAATATAAAGAAAGAAAAGATATTTACATTTCACATTTAAATTACCAAAGAGATGGAAACACTTAAGTACTAAAAAATAAATACAGTAAACAACTATTAAAGCTTATAATAAAAACTATATAAATACATGGTGAATATATAACGCATGAAAAAGAAAAACTGTACATCACCTACAATGTTTACATAACTGTAGACATATGAACAAAGACTAAAATAGAAGATAAAACTGAGTTTGGGATGGGATATCAATAAAATGAGTGTTTTTCTGATATTTAATAGTGAATAAAGATTGAGTGGATAAGGAAAAAAGACACTCAAAGACTGTAATTTTAATAGTTATTGTATTGAAAATTGGGGTAACTTGGGCTTTTATAAAGTTATTCAGAGAAATATTACCCACTTATGTTCTTAAATTTTTATTTTGTTTTAGAGAGGGGGAAGGGAGGGAGAAAGAGAGGGAGAGAAACACTGATTGGTTGCCTTCTGCCTTCTGCCTTCTGCAAGTTCCCCAGTCGGAAGCCCCAGGCACCTACCCTGACAGGGAATCAACCTGTGACCTTTTGGTTTGCTGGCCGCCGCCCAATAAACCAAGCCTTCCCATTAGGTTCTTGCCTCGTATCCTGTAATAGTACCTTATTCCGCCCTTGGAATGGTCAAAATGACACTGCGCCTAGTTCATCACTGAATCCCTAATAGTAAAACTCTCCTGGAGTATGCCGTCAACGCCCACGCCCTGTGGGTGCTGCACAAAAAAGCCCATGGGGACGAAAGTGAGACTGCTTGAGACACTTAATGCTTGTCAGTCATTAGAAGCCATAAAGATATTGAAAGTAGTCAAGTTCTATAACATACTGCTTCCTCCCAAATCTCACTTGATATTATTTGTTCCTCTGGTGATTTCTTATTTGTGAGTAATTTATATTTCAGAGAGATTTGCTTTGATAGAGCAAATATTCCCTTTTAGCTAGAGCAGAAACCTTTAATACTGCTGAATGGGATGAATGGCCATGATATAAATGATCCTCACTATAATTTTTTCTGTTCTACATGGTTATATTTTGAAGGTCATATTTTAACCAATGTGATGAGAAGCCACATTTTATTAAGAGTCTACAGAATTTCTTTTCTCTTGAAGTAGAGAAAATTAGAGAAAAGGGAAATGTAGTTCCCTTCTAGATACTGATGAATTCTTTCTGCTCTTATTTCATGTGGTAAATGGTGAGTTGATTTGCTTTCAAGACCAGAATATCTTCAAAGCTACCTCAACACTACCTTGTTCAGTGTTCTACAAATAGCAGCCTTTTAGTGATCCGTGACCCAACAAGAATTTCTCATAACCTTTAACATTGTCATCATCCGCTCCTCCTTCTGCAGGGCTCCTAGCTCTTTGATGTTCATTTCTTACCAGGACAGTGATAATGCACTGGTGAAAAGGGGGACAAGGTAAAGGATCGATGGATTCTATTCTTCTTTTTAAGTTTCACAAGATCAAAGCACATATTGATTGAATTTTTGAAGTGCTTTATTTTATAACATGTGATTCATTATAAAAGTAATATACACTCATAGTTAAAATTTTTTAACACAGAAAAGGATAAAGAACAATATGAATTGCTGCTTTATACCACCACTTAGAAATGACCCCTGTTAAATTTTTGGTGCAAAAAAAAAAAAAAATCAAACTCTAAGAAGAATAGAAACTGGAAAATATTGGATCTATATAAGTAAATGTATCATGACTAATGACATCGTCAGCTAATTCAGGAGAGACTGTGTGGTATTGTGGAGAAAGCACTGCCCCTGGAATCAGCCAGTTCCAGGGTTCTGCCACTTACCATCTATATGACCTTGGGCAACTTACTTAACCACCCTGTGTCTTAGTTTTATAACCATAATAAGGCCGAACTTGTAGGATTTTTGTAAGGATTAAACACATCAGACATGTAAAGCACTATGCTAGTGTCTGGCATATAGTAATTAATAAACAAAAGGTAAATACTAATACAGATATTATGCGTAATTAGGTTCTTAGGAGAGTATCATTGAAAATTCAATCAGCAAGGATTAATTGACCATCGGACTAGAAATTCAAAGAAAAATAAAACCACTTACAATGGGTGATGGGGCAGGGAGAGTAGTATAGAGACATACAGGTGAATCAACTGAACATGCAAGCTTGAAGCGAGGAGGTGGGCATGTCAGTATCTGTTTTATTTGGAGGAGAGTGTATTGGAGATCTCTGATCTGCTTGATTTTGTTGGTTAAAAATTGATACAAACTATACATGGGAATATCTCATCTACAGCACCAAGGCCCATAGAAAGCGTCTGTCTTTTGGTGAGTTACAAGTGGGAAACAAAGGGTAGAGGTCATTTTGGGTGATAGTAAAGTTGGTACCTTCCGAGTGGCCTTGTAGAATGATCCCTAAGCAAATTCCAAGACCTTTTTAAGCGTGTGTCTCACTTGTGTGCCTAGATACTTGGGAAGTGCCATTTGAGGAGATCTCAGAGCTGCAGTGGCTGGGTAGTGGAGCCCAAGGAGCTGTCTTCCTGGGCAAGTTCCGAGCGGAGGAGGTGGCCATCAAGAAAGTGAGAGAGCAGAATGAGACGGATATCAAGCATCTGAGGAAGTTGAAGCACCCTAACATCATCGCTTTCAAGTAGGTCAAGGCTTTTTTTTTTAAAGAAATAGAGAGACTTTCTTTTCCTTAATATCTACATATAAATTCCTGCTTTGAAGTACATGTTAAGAACATGCTGTAGACTAAGCACTGTACTAGGTGCTTTGGTAGGGTACCAAAGAACTATTAAAATAGAGTCATGTCTTTAGGAGTTCACAATCTAGAAGTTCTTTTTGCCAGAGGGTGTCCTGCTTGGAAGGGATGCAGATGGGACAGAGAGGGAGATAATGGATTCCTGCCAAGCCATCAGATCTGTGACATCGACCTTATTTATCAGTAAGGTGACAGAGGTCACCTCCAGATAACTTGAACATCCTAAAACTCCATTAAGAAAACCAAGCTAACATCAAAGTGATCAGAGAATAATTAGACCCTGTGTCATAGATGTGCTTTTTATTAGTTCTATTAGCATCCCTTCTTAAATATTAACTTGTAATAACAGGTACCTTCAGAGTATTTCTCCCTGCCTCATTGTTTGCTAGGTCACTTTTCAAGTGATGCCAAAGACTCAGCTTTCTAAATGTAATGATACAGAGTTATTGATGATAGTAAGTTATGTGCTATTTTTATTTCACAAAGTAGTTGTTTTCAAGATCTTTATAGTTTAGAGCATTATCTTAATAAAATCAGCAGGGATCCCTATCAAAAAGGGGAGGCTCAATGGTAAATTTTGGAAATCACCAAGTTTGGCAGTGCTAAGCTCTAAATATGTATAATCTCTTGTGTCTTGAGTTCCCTCTCTTGCCATCTTTCAAATTTACTTGGGGCTTGAACAAATGGAAAGATGAATGCTGAGTGGCTTTAGAGAAAGGAAGAACAGGAAAGGTAGTCTTTAGGTGGGATAAGAGTGTAGACACTAGAACTTCTATATATATAAAATATGTAGTATGACCAATGAGGCTACAGTTAGAAGTGGAATAACTTACAAGTCCCCCTTCTCAAAACTGGTAGAAACCTCTCCCAGCATCCAAGGAGGATCCTTTCTTAATACAGTTCTCATTATAAAGCTGAACATGTGATGTGATCATTTTTAATTGGAGGCGCATCCCAAAGTAAGGAATAGAAATCTTAGATATAGGTTTTATAGAATGAGTTTAAATGAGTATTAAGGCTGAGTTTTGATTCCCAAACAAGACCCCTTGTGGAAAGGGATGGGAATATAAAAAGAAGAGAAGCATTTAACTGGGATGCTAAACAAAGTGCTTGGATTTATTTCCTCATGGGAGGAACATCCATGCAGAGGGCGTGGTTCTATCTCTGGTTGCCCTAGTTGGGCCAAGAGGATGTGAGACTAAAACAAAATGCTCTAGAGACCAATTCTAATCTTTCCAAAGATGATAATATCAAAAGTCACTGGAAGGATTATTTTTAAGCAGACTACCAGAAACTCACTGCTTTCTTTCATTTTACTTCACTGAGAGGACCTTCAATCCCTGTATGCTACACCATCCTAAATGGAAGGAAGGGCCTTCCATTAAACTTCCACTTAATTACACTTTGAAGCTTCGATCAGTAGGGTGCTGAGTTTGAGGCACAGAAGTTTCTATAGATTAGCCGGGCCTTTTGGCCTCCTGAAGTGAAATAAGCTATGTCTCTCAGGTCAGAGGGCTTTCCAGGTAGAATTGTGTTCTCGGGATGGGTATGAGAAGCTTTATTTTTCCTTCCTTTCTTTTGCTTCTTCCTTTTTCTTTACAGTCTTTTCCCCCACCTCACCCCCTGACCCGCCTACCTGCAAATGCACGTTTCAACATATTGGATAAATATTGCCATGCTAGTGCCCAACTGTTTAGGCTGAAGATGCTTGAATAGTCTTTACCTCTACATGGAAAACAATAGTGAGACTGTGTCCCTGGCCCATCACACCACGCTCTCGAGGCATTGTGCAGTGTTATGTTTGCAGCCATCTGTGCCATGTGTTGCTTGGCCAATGAATCATTCAGGACCGTCTGGAAGACATAAAGGCAAGATTAGATTTTAGTACGTCTCTCTGGATAGTGCTTTCTGTGCTTTTGAAGTAAGAACCATGTACGAAGAGAAAGAGCAAGGAAAGAACACTATTCTTTTTTCTTCCAATTTTTTAAACAATCTTTTAAGAAAACTCAACCTGACTTCCTAATGGAATTGAGTGCCATGGGGAGGAAAAGGTAGCAATTAGAAGTGATTATAGAGCAGTTATTTATAGCTAGTAAGAAGCCTTGTCATAGTACAGGGCTGACGGAATGATTGCTCCTCATTCGTCAGCCAGGAAAGATGAAAAGTGCCTAACATGTCACTGCTAGACCCTTTCTGCCTATGTTTGTGTGACAAGTTAAGACATACTAGAACAGAATACTCAATAGCTTCCAACAAATATTTATTTTGATAGTCTTAAGCATATTACATTCTTCCTGCCTTACTCATTATTTCTCTGTGAGGAAACTTGTCTCTTTGTAGTTGCCATACACTCCTGCTCCAGTGAGGTTTCCTACAAGTCGAGTAACAGAAACCTGAAAAAAATTTTTTCAGTAAAAATCAAGATGAGAATTCTGGGTAGCTTAGTAAATGGTCAATGAAGAGAAATAGTTTTGTGGCATTTGACAGGCACATCAAAGCAAGAAAAATGAAGACTAATTATTTGATTTCTTTATAACCTGCTATTGTTGTAAGACCTGCCCATGATCACAAGCCATCATGGCCTCTAAATTGCTGCATCACCAATAGCAGCCTAAGAGATGAAAGACACGAAGCCACAGCTGGCTGAGAACTTTAGCTGGGTGTCTTGTAGGTAGAATACTCTAGAAAGTTTGAAAGGAAGGCATACATGCCATTAAGGAAGGGACACAGAGAATTGCATATGGTCCTTTTTCTTCTCTTTTCTCATCCTCAGAGCCAAACTGTGACTTAGAATTAATATGATTGTTCCCACTTTTATAAGGTAACAATATTAATGTAGGAATTCCCAGTATGCTTGTCTATACTGACGTTAAGGAATTAAAAGGTAGGCAGTGTGGTGTGCTGAGTGGAAAGAGTGTGGCTTTGAAGGTAAACAGACTGGATTTGAACACCAGCTCTGTTGCTTCTTAGTTGTCTGATCTAGAACAAGTCACTGCCCCTCTCTGAACATTACCTGTAAAAATGGAAAAGGTAGTATCTATCTTACAATAGTTTGGAGCAGACTAAATAAAACAAATAAACATGTCAACATTCCTGACAAATAGAAGTTCTTTCATGTTACTGCCCCTTCTCCTAGGCCTGGCATCTGCGCATGTTTGTGAGAAGCCTTTATCAGCAAACGAAAGTTAAGGTGAAGCTAAGAACCATTTGTCAGGGACGTGCTGGGAACATCTAGGCCTTGCGGTAAACAGAAAAGAACTTGAAGACCTCTCCCTTCAAGGAGCCTGTAATCTGTATCAGGAGACAAAAATCACATATAAAAAACTGATGGCTGCTATGTAGCACTGAAATTTAGAGAAGAGAAAGATATTTTGGACTGGAATGATTGGTCAGGAAAGGCTTCGTGGAAGATGTGAGAATTGATGGAAATACAGGCTGCATAGATTATAACACATTGTGTCATGTTATTTTTATTCTAAACAGAAGTGTTTTTTAAAGGCTATATAATCTAGAAATTCCTTTCTTTGATCCTCAGTCTAGTTAGTTGTCTTAAATTTGAGTAATTTAAAAGTCAAATCATAGTAAAAGAATAGTATTTTATTTGAATTCTCTCTTTCTGCACACTATGTATAAAACCTCTATTTAATTCTAAAAAGAAGATACTTATATTATTCTTAACAATCTAAAACAACATAATATCCAGGCCATACAAAGCCTCAGGAAACGGTGCTCTTTGTCCCAGAATGGAATGGTCCCACAGAAAAAGCACCAGATACAGCATAGCATATAGATATCTAAAGTGAGCAAAACAAACTAAAATTGTCTATATGTATAATAGAAAAACCTATAGACTAGAGGGTTTTTAATGCTAATTTAAGAATCAGGAGTGAACACAATACAATATACAGAATGATGTATTGTAGAATTATACATCTTAAACTTATGTAATTTTATTAACCACTGTCATCCCGATAAATTCAATTTTAAAAATTATGTCATAAAAAAGAATCTGGGAAGATTATATACATTTTTTAAATAATTTAGATAGAGAATTGGTCTTGATTAAATTTATAAAATATTCCTAAAATGTATATATGTATGTTTGTTTCTATGTGTGTGTTGTATTTATGTACACATTTGTGTTTTCTTGAAAGGGGTGTGTGTACGCAGGCCCCATGTTACTGTATCATCATGGAATACTGCGCCCATGGACAGCTCTACGAGGTTTTGCGAGCTGGCAGGAAGATCACGCCTCGATTGCTAGTAGACTGGTCCACGGGAATTGCAAGTGGAATGAATTATTTGCACCTTCACAAAATTATTCATCGTGATCTCAAATCACCTAAGTGAGTAATGGAGCTAATTTTACAGTCACTTTGTTTTATTGCTTTGAAATAAGGAATTCCATCAACCATAGTTGAGATTTTCAGACATCATACTTTTGGTTCAGTTTAAATCAGCAAAAGGGGTGATGTTATTTGCATATCTTTTGGATTATTATGACCTACTTATTTATCTATATGACAGATATGTTCAGACACCTGACACTAGTTTTCTGATTTTGTTGCTTTTTAACTGTACAATTATGAAATAATTCATTATCTGAAGTACTTACCTTCCATCATTTTGAATGAATAATGCCAAACTTCTTCACCTGAAGGCTTGATTTCTTGTTTTCCTAGTGTTTTTTAAAAAAAAACATTTTTTAAAAACTGAATTTCAGAAATGTATTTCATACAATCAGATAAAAGTAAATGAATAAGAAACAGAAGCAAAAAGAAAATGAAAATATTAGAACGCAAGCTTGTTCACAAAATGTATATTATAAGAATCTGTATAGTTATTAGGGGTGGAGTATATATTTGGTTTTGTAGAGTCTAAGCAAAGAAAGAGAGAAATACTTAGAAGATTCACAGTGTCCATAGGAAAAATACAAATGGATTACTTAAGAGAAGCAAGCTGTTTCTAGCAATCTCTGTTATCAACATGATTTCTTGGCTACTAATAACCACTTTAAGAGGAGTGTTTATTCAGGTCCTTGAATTACATAAAGGAAAAAAAGGAAATGATAAAATGGTATATTTAAATGTAACTCCTATATTTAAACATTATTTTTATTATTTCTCACCCCATTTGGTTTGGAGAAGCAGAAAAGGATTACTCTTTTTTCAAAAATATATTTCCATGTGCTTTTATGATTTATAGCATATTTTTATATCTGTTTTAATCTTGGCAAGAACTGTGTGGAATAGATGTGACAAGTGTTATTCTTATATAAGAGAAACTAGGGCTCAGAGCCCAAGCTCATGGAACTAGGACTTGAACCTAGAACTTCTGGACCAAGGACCCCTGCTTCCTACATCATTTTGTGAAGGTGAGGGACTCACAAGGAGTCCTGCCTCTTTTCAATGAAGATACAAATCAGCCCTTGATTATAAACTTCAAAGGAGCTCTTATTTATCACCATAGTTCTCAGCAATATTTATACAATTGTTAGCTCACTGAACAGCCATCTTGCTTTACTTGCAAATAACTTTGTTATGTCGTGTTCATTCTTTCTGTCTACATTCTTAACCCAATCTGTTGCTTTTTGTCATCCAATACATACACATAAAATCTTTGCCAAAGTCCCCTTTGAATGGTCTTCTTTTGAATCACCTTATTCTCCTTGAGAATTAATTGTAGAGGAAGAAGTCAGGAGATTTTAGAATACATAGAAGTCACATGCTACTCTCTTTAACTCCTGTCATTTAAAGATTAGAATAAATTGGTTACCCAGCAAGCTTTTCTTCCTGTTATCAGTACCAGCCTGAACCCCAGGCAGCCTTGTTCTCTTTGAAAAAAACAAAGATCTTGCTGTACAGAGAGATTTTATTTCCTACATTAAATATTTAAGCTATGTGATCTTTGTCTCAGAGATTTCACAAAAGTTCCAACATCATATCTTCTGTGGTCCCCTCCCATGTCCATTCCCCCTTGTCATGCCAACAGTTCCGTAGTGAGCAGCACAAAAGACTCAGAAGGGGAAGTTTCTAGTGGGTTTTTTTTCCTACTCTATGGGCTTATCACCTTTTCTGACGTTCATGGTTTATGATACCATCAACTCTCCAATTATCTCAAATAGCCCATAATATTTTAATCCTTATGCATCTTCACCAAGACTGACACCATTAAACCAAAATTCCTAAATTATGTGAATTTTAATATCAGGTGCAAAACCAGGACTTGGATGTGGATGAAGGTGTTCTAAAGCGATTGTAAACACTGAGCTATTTGGTAAACAGAGGGCTATTTGACATTGGCGGGGAGGGAAGTCCCTGGTTCAAAGGAGAAGGGAGGAGATAGACTGAGAAGTTTCTTATTTTCTCACTGCCTTGATTCTGATACTATTGGAGTATTAAGCCTTCTAATTGTTACAAGTATGTCTCTAGATCATTAAGCCTCTGAAACCCTAATTCATTGACATTCTGAAGTTCTAAACAGCCTGTTTCAAGTGAAGTCAATCTCATGCGTGAGGATATTAATATGCTGGATTTTGACTGGTACCAGGTTGTATCCATCTTTAGAGCAAGCAAAAGCAGTTTGCCCCAGGTCACATTTCAGATAACTTGCGTGAAAATGGAAACATGAGTTGTGTGGAATCTACTTAAGCTTAAATGTATTCCTGCTTTTCCTCATCAACATCAGTGGAATCCCAGGATACTTCTTAGCCTTTTAATGTAACAACTGCCTAGTATCATGATCCCCTGCATGATTTCAGATGGCCACCATTTAAACAGTGTTTTAAAAGAAGTGTTTTCCTAGTGGGTTGTCTGAGACTGGCAGAGTGGAAACCAATATTTATTGAGCATGGGTGTTTTACTTATCTCATTCAATTCAAACAAAAATTCTATGAGGCCATTATGCCAGGCCCATATCCCTTATCCAAAACTCTTGGAGTCAGATGATTTCAAGAAGGGAACAGTGCATTACCTTACACGGCCCCAGCGCTGACTGGGGCACACCCTGTAAGCGGCTACATTCCTGTCTGTGGCAAAACCTCTCTATGATGGTCACACAAAGTGGGTAAATGAAGTGAATTTGCTTTATACATATGAAAAAAATATGTATACACTGTTTTCAGAGCCTTTTTCACTTTTGAATTGAGGATAAGACAGTATGAACCGAATTGTCTCCATCTTATAGATGAGAAAACTGGCTTAGAAGAAAGAATTAAGCTGGCAAAGCTTACCAGTGATGGAGGCAGGACAAAACCAGGTGTAAAAGCCCCCTATGCTATGCTGCCTCACGAGTGTGAATGGTGCCGTTTCTAGTGTATCGCTAATGTCCTAGTGATAGTGGAACTGATAAGCTGAATTCTACGAGGCAGGGGGCAGCAAACACTTGGGTTGCCAATTTGAGTCATGTTTTTTCATTAATACTAATGATTTGGGTGTTCTCATTTCTTTTTAAAGTGTTTTAGTGACTCACACAGATGCAGTAAAAATTTCAGATTTTGGTACCTCTAAGGAACTCAGCGATAAAAGTACCAAGATGTCCTTCGCTGGCACAGTTGCGTGGATGGCGCCAGAGGTGATACGAAATGAACCTGTCTCTGAAAAAGTTGACATATGGTGAGCGGCACCATCCGTGCCAAGTAGAAAGCCTTTTTCCCCTTTCACCTGTTAGTGCTTTCCTCCATCAACACTTCTACTTCCCCAAATATTCTTTAATGCTATCACTTCTTGTTGATTGCAGTCCTGTATTAGCTGAGGTACCATCCAGTACAAGGATAATATGGTAAGAAGGATTGAGATAGCAATTAGGGTGACTATCGGTTCAGTAAATCATCAGTTTCTGGGACCCTCAAAGAATATGCTGAACTTTCTGGAAAATGGAAACTTTCCTTTAAATAGCCATTTAGTATAAAAGTCTTCCTGAAATGTATTACATAACTCTCACCTTCTTAAATAAAATACCTTAAACAAAGTTTACCCATTCTTGATGACTCAGACCATTGTGTATCAGTAACCTACTGATGTGATATAGCTACATGATTCAGACCCATCTGAGTTGTATAGTACAATTTGTCCTTTTATTAAACAGCCCCTATGGGCTATGCTCTTTTGCTGTTGGCCTTTTTTAATCTATATTAAGCTTTCCTTCAAATATTTACTATGAACTGTGTATTTCCCTGTAGTTTGCTTTTCTTCCATTCTTAAAATTAACTGCTAATACCTTTAGGCTTAAAACCAAAATAATAGCATATATTAAAATTGCATGTGGCACCAAAGTAAATAAGATAAAAAAATGTAAGATCACTTGTAATTTGGGTAATTATTATGAACGTGCCCTCTTTAGGGATTATGCCAATTTATGTTCCCAAAAGAAATATATGAGTGTTTTCTCAGCCTCACCAAGTTAAACTTCTGGATTTTTGCCAAACATGTAGGTAAAAAAATGGTATCTTTGGTGAAATTTAATTTGCATTCCTTTTCTAATATGTAAGGTTGTATATGTTTTATGTTTACAAACCATTTGTAATTTCTTATTTGTGAACTATTCTTTGCTAAGCTTTCTGATCTTTATTCTTATCAATTTATAAGAGTATTTATATTGAAAAGATTAGCGTTTCGTGTATTTGAATTACAGATACCTTTTACATTTTGTTATTTTGTTTATGGTGGAGATTTTTTCCATGCCAGAATTTTTTTTTAATGCAGTTTAGCTTATCATTCTCTCCTCTTAAGGCTTCTGGATTTCATAATTAGAAAAGCCTTCAACACTCTATGTTTTTTTTTTTTTTATTTCCTATGTATTTCAGGATTTTCATAGTTTCATTTTTTTTATATCTAAATCTTTAATTCATTAAGAATTCATCATTATGTAGGATGATGTATAAATTTAATTTTCTCCTCAGTTGTCCCAACAGCATTTATTGAATAATCAATTTTGCCCCACTGGTTTGAGATGTCACTTTTATCATATATGCAATTCCTGTATATATTTCTGGATTTCCGTCATCTCATTAGTCTGGCTGTCTATTCATGCACTAGAGTTATCTACAGAAACCTTATAAAATGTCTTAATATCTGGTAGTGTTGGTTACCCTTCATTGACTTTCCTGTTTAGAGTTTTCCTGGCTGTTGCCATTTTTCTTGTAGCAGTTTTAGAATTTTAACACTGGGGACATATCTGATTAAAAATTAATAAAGAACTAAAATACAAACCAGCCTTTCTGAAATGTCTTCTGTACACATTCCTGGTACTATTGCAGGTCTTTTGGAGTGGTGCTTTGGGAGTTGCTGACAGGAGAGATCCCTTACAAAGATGTGGACTCTTCAGCCATTATTTGGGGTGTTGGGAGCAATAGTCTACACCTTCCAGTTCCTTCCACTTGCCCTGATGGATTCAAAATCCTTATGAAACAAACATGGTAAGAAATATACTTCTCCCAATATTCTCTCTTACCTTCTTCCTCAAAGACACATTTAAAACTTCAGGGAAGTCTCTAATGTGTATTAGGAGTGAATCACCTGGTAGTCTAAAGACAAGGAGACTTTAGGAACCATTTATAAACAAAGAATTTAGTACATCTCAAAATAGTAGGGCTTATAAGTGATAGCTATTATTATTACTTTACCTGTCCTAAGGGATCATTATCAAAACAGGTCACTGATCCTAGAGATTTTCATTCCATCAACATTGCTCAAGATATAGCCATGCATGGAGTCAAAAATGTTTTTCATAAAGTAGAATAAAGTCCTGGCCGGGTAGCTCAGTTGGTCAGAACATCATCCTGATACACCAAGGTTTCGATTTTGATCCCTGGTCAGGGCACATACAAGAAATCAACCAATGAATGTGTAAGTAGGTGAAACAACAAAGTAATGTTTCTCTTTTAAAGTCAATAAAAAATAAATAAGGTAGAATAAAATCGTTATCCTTTTGGGTATAACTTCAGAAATTCACAAGCTGCCTTTTTTTACTCCTAGGCAAAGTAAACCTCGCAACCGACCTTCTTTTCGACAGACACTCATGCACTTAGACATCGCGTCTGCAGATGTTCTTGCCACACCACAAGAAACTTACTTCAAGTCTCAGGTAAGTTTGGAAACTCTGTACCAGATGCTACTGAATTATTTGAGAAAAAATAATTCTTAGAAGAGGACCATTCTGATTCTTTTTTTTTTAATTTATTTATTTAGTAGAGAAGAGAAGGAAGGGAGAAAGAGAGGGAGAGAAACATCAATGTGTGGTTGCACCTTGCGTGCCCCCTGCAAGGGAACTGGCCCACAACCCAGGCATGTGCCCTTCACTGGGAATTGAACCCACGATCCTCCACTTTGCAGGCTGGCACTCAATCCACTGAGCCACACCAGCCAGGGCTGATTCTTATAACAATTATATAATTCCATTTATTGTGAAACAGTAACTATGATACCTCATACATACAACATTTTGGAGTTTTTAAGCACGTATATTATTATCTCATTTGACAAGAATGTGTATTAGAATCTGATCTTCCTAATGGGTTCTGGTGAAGCTGTTGAAGAAAAAAGAGGAAAAGAAGATATGAAAATGGTAATGTACATATATTTGAATTAGAATTATTACTGAACTTCATGAAAGTATTACTGTCTTTGAAGTAGAAAACCTAAAGTACAGGGGAGGGAAGTTAAATACCAGACAGAGCCCATGATAGAATTAGGCCCAGAGAGAACCTTTTCTCTAACTTAATATGTCACTTATTAGTACCGAATAAAATATTATTTAATATATGTTAGCTTTTACTGCATTACAAGCCATTCCAAAACTTACGGCTTAAAACAAGAAGCTTTTGTTGAGCTCACAGTTTTGTGGGTCGGGAATTCAGGCTAGGCGGCTCTTCTGCCGGCTCTGCCTGGGCTCGCTCACGTGACTGCAGTCAGTCGCCAGGGCAGCTGGGAGGCTCTCAGGTTCCAGATGGCCTCATACACAAGCCTGGCAACTGATTGGCTGTTAGCTGGAGCACCTCGGTTCTCCTGCACATGGCCAGACCAACCCATGTGGAGAAACGGATATCATCTCTTGATGAGAGAACACCGTCCAGAGGTGATATGTGCTACCATAGCACATTGTAAGGGCTTGGGTGAGAGAAGGAAAGAAGAGGTGACTATTAAATAAGAATACTATGAATTGTCCTAAGAATTGGTGGTCCAGCCCTGGCTGGTGTGGCTCAGGTGGTTGCAGTGTCGTCCCATAAACTGAGTGGATGCTGGTTTTATTCCAGGTCAGGGCACATGGCTAGGTTGAGGGTTTGATCTCCAATCCAGGCGCATGTGGGGAAGAAACCAATCAATGTTTCTCTCTCACATCGGTCATTGATGTATGTCTCTCTCTCTCTCTCTCTCTCTCTCTGGGTGTGTTCCTTCCCCTCTCTCTTGAATGAGAATAAAATAAAAACCTTTAAAAACATTTTTTTTAAAAGATTGGTGGTCCAACCAACATCAGTATGGTTAGGGAGCTGTGGGAGACAAGTGCACATGAGGTCCTTATCTCTGCTGGACCCAGGCAATAGCAAAAGGAGGTAAATGGGATGAAACTACATAGCTTGTCAAATAAAAGCAATGATCCTAAAGTACAGCTTTATGCCTACAGGATTTCACAACAGTATTACCTAATTTTTCATCATATAGCTTTGTCTCACTCAAGTTTCTGTGTGTCCAAGTGAATTTTTGAAAGGTGAATTCCATCTCCACATTGTTCCATATCACTTCAAAGATTACGTCTCAGAGAAGACATTGCATTACTAATTGGTGTTTCAGTCCACTCCACATAGCCCCCCCATCTGCAGTGGGTGATGAGTTTACCTACCAGGAAATCTGTGGACTGGGAGGGGCATCATCCTGGGAGTTAAACAAGTCCTCCAATATGCTTTAGCATCTGCCTCAACCCGGGGCTCAGAGTATGTGCTTCACATGTATCTGATAAACATAGAGATACTCTGCCCATCAGACATTGGGAATACCTTAATAAATAACCCCACGGGTGTTGGGAGTGTCTGGGGAATATCAGAAACTGTTATCCTGTTGCCTGAAGTTCCAACACACTTTCTATGAGCTACCAACTTAGTTCTCTCCACAGCTCTGTCTTTAAATATTTAGTCAGACTTGCCCCTATAGTTTTCTACTATTTCTGAGGAATATGTTCTTTGATATGCATTTAGATAAACTCCCTTCGAACTATTAAGACCGTTGCCTATCTATTCAAATAGTAGGTGTAGAACTGGAGAAGGAATCTGTTAAATAACTTCTGTTAGTATTCAGAAAAAAACTTAGGTTCATTTGTGAAAGGAAAGAGAATAATAGTGAGTACTTTCTAGGAGTCTTTCAAACTGTAGGGTATGGTTGCAATCACAGCTTTGCTTCCTTTACAGTAAAATACACATATCACAATTTTGAAAAGCAGTTTTTGTGAGCATGCTAAGTCACAGCTATTGAGACAGTGTAACTGTATATACTTGGAAAACTTAAGTTCTAAGCAGATTTTACTTGAGTGCTCCCAGAATATCACTCCTTAGCCAGTGCAACATGTTCTGAGCCCCCACCATATGCAAAGCCATGTATAGTGCAACTAAGCACCCAGAGTCAGTGTCCTCACTTGTTTAAACTCACTTTTAGCACATACAGTGCTAACATTAGATTCAGAAAAGGTTCATTTGGAGGAAGAACATGAAAGAGAGAGGAAGCAGAGGGGAAGGGAAGGAAGAGAGAGGGAAAACTTAGTACATTGTACATCTTTTAATATTCATTAATTCTTCCTCATTTTTCTCCCAATGTAAAGTTTTACCCCTCCTAAAATAGCCCCAAATCTTCTATCCTTGATAGTTCCTAGAATTAGGCCTTGAGTCTAAACCCCTGTCCTGTAATCTTGGATAACTCACTAAATTTTCTAAACCTCAGCTTACTCATGTAAACAATAAAGATAATCTTCATATCTTCCCTTCTTTGTGGATCATGTGAGACAATAAACATAGAGCTGTGAATGCAACTTGCAGTCAAAATGGAGGCGTAGGTAAATGCAACTCGCTCAACGCACAACCACAGCAAAATTACAGCTAAACTACTGAATAAATATCACTCAGAACTGTCAGAAAATCAAGCTGTATGGAAGTCTGACAACAGAGGAATTAAAGAAACCACATTCATCCAGACTGGTAGGAGGGATGGAGGGGCAGAGAAGCGGAACCGGCTGGTCCCAAACTCATGTGTGGTGAGTATAAAACAGAGGGGTATCTCAGAAGCAAAGGATCCCAGCCCCACACCAGACCACCCAAACCAGAGTTCAATGGCAGGAAGATAAGTCCCTGTAACTTCTGTCTGTAAAACTCAGTGGGGGTTGAGTCAGTGGAAGAGACTGCAGGATTCTCAGGCCTCTCCTCATAAAGGGCCTTGCACCACACACGGACTTACTCAGATGCACTCCCTCTGGGTTCCAACACTGGGGCAGCACCTTGAAGGGCACCAGTGGCCTGAGGGGAGGAAATAACGTGTCTGGCATCAGGGAGAGAGCTGGGGGACAGCTTCCTTCCAGACAGCAGCCATTGTACCTTTCTGAGCCCTCCCTTGCAGAGCCACAGTGCAGCAGCACTATATGTGAATCTCTATCAACTTGGCTCCCACTCGAAGGCCCGCCCCAACAATTACCTAACGGTCCATCCCATCCAACTTATGGGCCCACCCAAGCTGGTAACCGTGCTTTTCTATATGAAGGGCTGGGCTAGGCATAGGCTTCAGATCTTCCTAAATCCACTCAAACAAGCAACAGCTGAGCCCAGCCCCCATCCCTCTTGCTGAGTAGTCCCAGACCCAGCACTAGAAGCAGCCATCTGCAGATCTCTTTATAGCTTATGACAAGGGACCCCAGACAGAAAAAAGGTAGAGGCTGACCTTGGCCTGCACCACCTGGGAAACCCCAGAGCCTGCGCACCTGGTGGACAGATACAGACCACCCTGGATCACCACCCAACCACCTCCACAAGCTGCGGAGGGACGTGGTTCCTGGCCAGGGGTCACAGCCAGTCCTAAAAGCTGTCTGGACAGGGTAAATCCCTCCTATTGACCTGCTTACAACAATCAAGACTCATCTATAACAGGTGGGAGTATTCAGCCCACATGAAGGGCACACCTCAAGTACATAGCTTGGGAGATAGGGGAGGCTGTGCCACTGGACCCTACAGGACACCTACTGCATTAAGCCATGCTACCAAGACACGGAGTCAAAGCAACTCTACCTAATACATAGAAACAAATACAGGGAGGCTGCCAAAATGAGGAGGGAAAGAAACATGGCCCAAATGAAAGAACAGAACAGAACTCCAGAGGAAGAACTAAACAAAAGGGAGATAAACAATCTATCAGACGCAGAGTTCAAAACACTGGTTATAAGTATGCTCAAGGAACTCAGTGGGCACTTCAACAGCATAAAGAAAGACCTAGGCAGAAATGAAGGATCTACTTATTGAAATAAAGAACAATTTACAGGGGATCAACAGCAGAGTGGACGAAGCCAAGAATCAAATCAATGATTTGGATCGAATCAGAAAAAGACATCCAATCAGTACAAGAAGAAAAAAAAGAATCCCCCAAATTGAGGACAGTGTAAGGAGCCTCTAGGACAACTTCAAATATGCCAACATTCCCATCATAGTAGTGCCAGAAGGAGAAGAGAAAGAGCAAGAAATTGGAAACCTATTTGAAAAAATAATGAAAGAAAACTTCCTTAATTTGTTGAAGGAAATAGACATACAAGTCCAGGAAGCACAAAGTCCCAAACAAGATGGATGCAAAGAGGACACACTGTAATTAAAATGCCAAAGATTAAAGATAAACGGAGAATCTTAAATGCAGCAAGAGAAAAACAGGTAATTACCTACAAAGGAGTTCCCATAAGACTGTGAGCTGATTTCTCAAAAGAAGCTTTGAAGTTAAGGGACTGGCAAGAAATATTCAAAGTGATGAAAAGCAAGGACCTACATCCAAGATTACTCCACCCTGCAAAGCTATCATTTAGAATCGAAAGGCAGATAAAGTGCTTCTCAGACAAGGTAAAGTTAAAGGAGTTCATCATCACCAAGCCCTTAGTATATGAAAGGCTATGTTAAATGTTAAAAGGACTTATCTAAGAAAAAGAAAATCAAAACTATGAACAGTAAAATGGCATTAAAGACATAACTATCAATAATTGAATCTAAAAAACAAAATAAGCAAATAAGCAGATCAGAACAGAATTGTAGAAATGAAGAACACTGGGATGATGGCCAGTGGGGCTGGATGTCTGGGAGAATGGGGGCAAAGGTGAATAGGCACGGGGATACTAAGAGCGAGTATAGGAAATGGAGAAGCTGAAGAACTTAGATTCATGACCCATGGACATGAACAAAGGAGGGAGGGTCCCCAGAGGGAGTGGAGGGGGGCAAAGGGGAAAAACTGGGACAACTGCAATAGCATAATCAATAAAAAAAATGCAAGTGTATTGTAAACTGCATAGAACTGCCCACAAAGCTCCAAAAATTAAGCCTCCTTTGGATTGTTACACTCTGGGTGCCCTTTCTGATGACATCCTGAGGTGGACAAGATGACAGTTAGGGAACACCTCCTATTCATTACGTTTTGACTTTGCCATGTAGGTGGGAAATAACTGGTTATTTAGCACGTGGTTTTGCTTTGCTAGAGCAGTCTTGCACCTGAGGCCTTGCCTTCTCCTGCCTGCCAAAATCTTGTGAGCATCAGTTGTCAATCAAGTTTGCTGGCCACTGGCCTCCACCTCCCACCGAAACTGTCAGTCAAGAGGGCTGCCCAAGCCCAGCCTAAGGGAAAAGCTTCATTCATCTTTCTCATCAACAGCGCATGTGTAAGGATGCAGCATATATAGCATAGATGAACAAAGCAACCAATTTCAGTATAATACTAGATTCTGCCAAAGCTGTTGCTTCAATTTTAGACAATTAGCCACTTCTCCAAGTAGGCAATTATTGTTCCTGGTATTCAATTACATTTGGTACAAGTCTTTAGAAAACATCTTAGCTCTGTCCCAGATCCCAGCTGCTGGGTAGATCATGTGCCTTTGCACTCTTCTAGTTTCCTTTTGAGCACCTCTACGACCACCCAGAAATTCAGGGGAGTTACAGACACCAAGCTCATTGTAGGGATAGACTGTGCTGCCTGAAGAGCAACCGGGTCATGAACAAAGAGGTGTTTAGGCAGAGACTGGGGACCTACCTGGGAGGCAGCAAACCGGGCTCTGTGCCGATCAAGAGTCAGGCTTATAATATCTTTTCTGACCCAGAATCTATGATTTCCTGCTACTTGGCCCCCCACACTAAGCTTTTTCCTTAAGGCTGGAACTCGCTCTTTTTTTCTTTAGTTTTTTAAAAGTAAAATATATATATAATATAGAATTCGCCATTAAACCATTTTAAGTGTACAATTCAGTGGCATTAATTACATTCACAATATTGCGAAACTATCACCACTATTTCAAAACTTTTTATCACCCCCATTAAGCAATGACTTCTCTTTCCCTCCTCCCCACAACCCCTGGTAATCTCTGTTCTACTTTCTACCTCTATGAATTGACCTATTCTAGATAGTTCATTTAAGTGGTCTCATACAATGTTTGTCCTTTCGTTTCACTTAGCATGTTTTTAAAGTTCATCTATGTTATAGCATGTGTCAGAACTTTATTCCTTTATATGACGAATAATATTCTGTTGAATGGATATACCCACATTTTGTTTATCCATTCTTCTGCTAATTCAACTTCATTTTGACACCTATATTATGGGAGAAAAAAGAAGCAAGATTTGGGTGCAAGAGCTTCAGTGCTACTGACTGAATAGCTGGAAGGCTGGAGAAGACAGAAACCTAAATGTTATGGCCTTTCCCAGGCCTCCCCTGGGATACAAAGAGGATCCCATTAACGGTGGCAACCCAAGTTTCACTGGATTTTCCCTTACCGGCTTACACGGGTCGTAAGAACCTTGTGAGGTACCCCCTACTTCCTCCTTCCTCTGTCCATGTGCATTTTGGGGGACACCCCCATAAAGAGTAGGGTCTCAAATAGCCTGAAATTAACAACATCTGCCCTGCTTCCCACTGACTCTGGCTAGACACAGCGGTCTCCCACCGGGCATCTGCTGGGTGTTACTTTATTGGATAGCACTGTTTTCTTCTAAAAGCCTGCCGTCCCCAGATGGCATCCACTGGGTGCTGCCTGTCCTTAAGCACTGCCGTCACCCTCTGGGAGCCGTTATTTCCTGCTGTAACTGAAGCTCTGGACTTCACAACATTCCAAAGCTGCACAACACAATGAACTCTTCCTTTCCCCGATGAGTTACATTTTATTAAAAGTAACAGAGCAGTGCTGCTTATGGCAACATGTTCCAGGTATTTCAGTGAAACATTGGAAGATGCCAGTCCTCTCCTGTGATGGTCAAGTTCTTGCAGGACTCCTTCCTGCATGACTTCTCCCAGAGGCTCTTCAGTCTGTGCAGATTGGCTTCAGCTATGCCCACACATGTCTGAATCGCAGCTTAAGTGCCAGCTGGAACTCCTGTTACATAAAGATTCTAAGTATGTGTGATGGAACTCCAAAATTAACATCTACCAGTACATGATACCTTTGGGGAAAACATTATTAATCATTACCTGCTGTTTTCCCACACGTCCTGTTCCCTCTTCACAGGAGGGAACTTCTTTTAGGAAGTTCATTTTCTTAATAGGTTTCAATCGTCAGAAGGTTCTCTAAGTTTCCCAAACCCATAAACTTAACATCAGGAGGTTCCTCCAGAATTTAAAAAAAAAAAAAAAAATCTGTGATATCTGATTCCTTACCACCAGAGGGAGGTATTCCTTTTCCCTGATTCCCTTAAATATTGCACTGGAATCCACTGACAGTTTTTTTGTGCAAAAGAGGACACTTTAAGACCCAAATTTGACCCTCCCCCTTATTCTTTTTGGTCTAACAACTCTTGATTGCCAACCTTTGACCTCTTAAAGCTCAATACTCTTCTTACTTCATGACTTTGATCTGATGATTGAAAGAATAGCATTTACCTGGGGCTCAAAGGCTTAGATAATGTCACAAACTGTTACCAAATCTCCCAGATCTTGGCTTTCTGCCAGCATTGTTTGGCAGGTTTGGTGCCTGAAAGTCAACTGACTGACAGAAATCTTTCTCCAATGGTCAGTCAACAGATACGCACAAACACACATGCAGGTGTCCAGCACAAATAACGCCCCTTTTTTATTACAAAATAATAAGCATGTAATTCTGTAATATAACAATATCACACTCAAGCATACGATATGACATTTTAGGTGAAATGTTCAAATCAAAACTATAAATTGTTACACTCATGTTATTACCCTACCAGTCACACTCAAGCAGGTATTACTTCTGCCAGGCTGTGTGTGTGTGTGTGTGTGTGTGTGTGTGTGTGTGTGTGTAAATGGATAAGCAGGATAATCACTTTCTAAATAATTATAATTTTATTTATAGAAATAAATTAGAAATGGCCCTGGCTGGTGTGGCTCAGTGGACTGAGTCCTGGCCTCAAACTGAAAGATCACAAGTTCGATTCTTAGTTAGGGCACAGGCCTGGCTTGCAGGCCAGGTTTCCAGTTGAGGGGCGTGTGAGAGCCACATAGATGTTTCTCTCCCTCTCTTTCTCCTTCCCTTTTCCTCTTTTAAAAATAAATAAATAAAACCTTTTCAAAAATAAAATAAATGAGCAATGGCAAATTTGGAGAGAAACCTTCTGTAATTTCATAATTACCTAAGTGTAACTTCTTCCATGATCTAGAGAGATAATTTTAACAGGAATCTAAAGGTCATACAATAGCTCTAGAGAAAGAGTATACAATTAGAAACATTTAGTGATGCATCTAGGCTTTGCTGGAAATTATATTAATCTCATTAGCCTCCTGGGATGGTAGTCTATACATAATTTGAGGAAACATATCCTTTAGCTTTTTTCTTGAAACTACCTATGTGGACCACCTTGCAGCAGAGGTTTCCCTGCCCCCTGAAATTCAGATAAAATTCTTGAAATTCCATGCCCTGTGGAAAGTCCAATGTCCTAACTCTCCTGTGAATTCCTGGAGATTTATGATTTCATGTCCACTCTGCCTATGCCTTCCTCAAATTCTTGACCCCTCCGTGTCCCTCCTATGCTGTGGTTGCTCCTCTACCTGTGTCCTGTTGGCGGCCCAAACATGAAGTTCAGCACCTTCCCTTGATTTCTAAGAAAGCAAAAATGCTCCCCATCAAAGTCAGAGTGTCAAGAGACTTTACTAAAGCTTTAGAAAACTGGAAGAGTCTTACATTTTGCACAACTTAAATCGCGTATTAGACATCCTTTTCTGTCCCCAGAATTTTGTCAGCCTCCTCTTTTTTTTGTTCATCCCCTCACTCCCAAATCCCTGTATAATTCCCTGTATTTTTATTTCCATCACCTGTTGTTCATGCCCCTTGGATCCTCTACTCGAAATATTTTTTCAAGATATTTTCATACACAAAACCTGAGAGGAATGCTGGAGCCAGGCGTAAAGATGATCATATTCTCACTGGCACACACTTGTTCCATAAGGTTATCAGAGCTGTTGTTTCTGGCCAGGCGTTCTCAGCCACCAGCTTGAGTTCCAGAGGGGAGAGCTGGTGTGTGAGCTGTGATGTTTCTGATAGCCTGTTCTTCAAGGAAACTGGAAAAGAGGCAACACCCCGTGTTGGACTACATACAGAAAATGGGGCACGGTGGGGTATGCAGATACATCTTCATGAGACATTCTGCTATTGACTGACACTAATTGAACATCTAATCTATAAAGTTCTTCAGGAGGAGCATGCAGGGGAAGAAAAACCTCACACACGGTCCTGTGGCTCCATCAGGGATTGAAACTCCTAGAATATTAACAAAGTCTAATTTATGCTTACCCAGGCTGAATGGAGAGAAGAAGTGAAGAAACACTTTGAGAAGATCAAAAGTGAAGGAACGTGCATACACCGATTGGATGAAGAACTGATTAGAAGGCGCAGAGAAGAGCTCAGGTGAGCTGACCTCTCCTCCCCCACTCCTTGTGCCCAGGGGCTCGGAGGTTAGCAGGCGCCCTCCCTGTGAAGCGCCATTGCACTTCCCACACACCTTTTACTGTTTGTTTATTGTGATTCTGTTTAAAATTTGCCCTGAAAGTTTGCCCTCTTTTATATCACTGTCATATCCTCTCCCGCCAATTCTGTTATCCTCCTTTATTATATCTGCAACAGAGATTCCTGGAGCAATGCTGTTTGTTCATTCGGGCCCTGTCCTAGGTGGCATAGACGGCCAGAAATTGATAAGATGTAGTCCCTGGTCTCAAGGTGCTTATAATCTCTTAAGGGAAACAAGATGTGTTCATAGATAACCGCCATAATTAGGCAGGATCTGTGCCATGGGTAAGGATAAAGGAGTGACCGTGGTGTCAGCTCTAGCGGCATATTTCCATTAACAATGAGTTCTCCCATGTCCTTAAGACATTGCCAACACTACACAAAGGCCACAAACTCTGCACCAATCATAGTCACATTTTATCGGTGGCCCTCTTGGCTATTCCCTGTGGCTGCACATGGCCCGTAAGGAGAAACCAAGTGGAAAGCTTAGATTTTCCTTCTCCCGCTCCATCTTGGCTGAGTCATTGCATTGGATGAGAGAACCTTTAATTTAGAGGGCCCTTGAGCAAATGCTTTTGAGGTAAGCCATCGTGGTTCTCATTTCATTAGAGCCGACTTTAGTCGATTTAGCTGATCCTGTGTTTTCTTTGCTAGGCATGCTTTGGATATCCGTGAACACTATGAGAGAAAACTTGAGCGGGCTAATAATTTATACATGGAACTGAGCGCCATCATGCTGCAGCTGGAAATGCGGGAGAAGGAGCTCATCAAGTATGTATTCAGACCACTGTCTGCCCTTATTGATTTAGTCTCTCCATCAGCAGAAATATGCTACTCTTCCATGTTGCTGCTGCTCAGAACTGGCAGATGCTCTATTCATTCGCTCAACATTCCTCCGGGGATGTGCTATGCACAGGTCCCCGCCACTGGGGAGGTTTACGGTTCAAGGGAGTTGCCATAGAGCTGGGTCTAGGGGAACATCACTTGAAAGATACTCGCAACTTCACCTTACTGAATGGCTCAGAGAAGGGGTCCTCTTTCGTGAACAGCTTGATGATGATGCGTGGGGCGCTTATTGCCCCCTGGGGAAGTGAGATGGCTTCTGCAAGTGGCTTAAGGTATTCCTGAGAATGGCAAGAAAATCCCAGGGTCTTGACCAAAACAGCGGCAAAGGAAGTAAGTAGGATTTCCCACCACTGCATTACGTCTGTCAGGAGGAGTGCTGGGGAAGGGACGGTCAGTCTCTGAGTTCGCCTGTGAGCTTAAGGGAAAAACAAGTCAGGTTAGTTGGAATTTAGCACTCCCCCCCACGCCCCACCCCTTTTTTTAACCTGGATAGCAGCCTTGCCATTCAAATAGCCTGCATCGGGTAAGTGCGGCCAGATCTGTGGGTGGAGTCAGCCTGTGAAACACTCCGCCCCTCTTTTCCGTCTGCAGTGACAGGGACGGGCTTTTTCTTTCACTCCGCAGGCGTGAGCAAGCAGTGGAAAAGAAGTATCCTGGGACTTACAAACGGCACCCTGTCCGCTCAATAATCCACCCCAATGCCATGGAGAAGCTCATGAAAAGGAAAGGCGTGCCTCACAAACCTGGGATGCAGACCAAACGGTGAGGCGCTTCTGCTGACCCGGTACTCCGATAAACGGGAAAAATATCCTCCTACAAATACATAAAGAGGTGATGGTGGGTGGGGCCACCGCACCTCCCCGGGAGCACACTTGGCTCTAGGTAAGACAGACTGGGAAGGTGAAAGAAAGTGTGTCACGGGCCCGTGCATCAACGGGCCTGGGAATCCATGTTTATTATCTGAGACACGGATATTTATCATCGTAGCATGGAAGAGTGAGAAGAGAAATAAACCTGGGTTAACACCCGGGCTCTGCCCATTGCGAGCTGTGTGATTTGGGTCCTGTCACTTGCCCTCTTTCAACTCCATGAGTAAAATGGGATGAGTATAGCACACGAGGTTTCTTTTTTTCTTTTTTTAACCCCTAATGCACAGAACTGGGTTAATTATAATTCTTGATTTATGCAACATTGGCCCACGCATGACCCACTTTTATTTATTCATTTAGTTCTTTTTAATAACGTGCCTGTAAATCCATCACCCAAAATGAAAGCAGAGACTTCGGGGATTTTTTTGTTTGGTTCTTTTTTTTTGTTTTTGCTCTTTTCTGCTTTGTGATTTTGCATGTCAACCTTGCACGGGGGCCGTGCTAATCTCTGTACTGTTCCAATTCTAGTATATGTGCTGCCAAAGTGAACACAATAGCGAGGACTTTGATAATGACCTATATATATGGTTCCCCCCATTCCACTCTTGCATGGGACTCTTGTGAAGTTTAAATAAGACAATGTGTGAAGTCGCCTAATCACAGGTGCTTATAAATTAATAATTAATTAATAATTAAAATCTTTAAAAAGAAGAAGCGTAGACTCTTAGGTCCCATCTCAGACCTACTCAATCATTTTAACAAACTTCAAAATGATTGGTATGCACCTTCAACATGTATTCTATCTAACGAACCAGATTGGAAATTGGCAGAGACTTCTGGTCTGGATTCTATCAGTAATGAGCTAGGAGACCGTGAGCCACTCTGGTTCCTCATCACACAGGGTCGGACAGGACTATCTGTTTCCAGGCAAGGTCTGGGATACCCCAGGGCCTGCATAGAGGGGTGTCTCAAGGACGACTGCAGGGGAAGAGAGAACAAGGCGGGGAAGCCCTGTGGGGAGGGGCCCCTGCTCCCCTACTCCTCAACATTCCTCCCTATCTGCTTTATATACTAGGCTTCTCTTAATAAATTGAGTAAACGATTCTGTTGCTTAAAAGCTGGGAGCCCTCCAGGTCTGAAAGCTCCTGCTGATTTGTATTTGTCTGGTCCCAAAGAAGGGTGAGACTACTCTCTGGCGGGGAGGAAGTAGCAGTGCTACCTGGTATCCTGGAATCCCTGCCCTGAATCACTCCATCAGTTCAGAAATCACGAATCGTTTGCCTACGTGCCTTGGAGTCAGTGAGCACAGGGTTTGCCTCAGGAGCTGGCTTCCTCCTGCACATGGTCTGCGCGGCTGGCCCAGTGGGCAGTGCAAACAGGGCTCCCTTTAGGAGCGCAGTACAGCGCCAGTGTCACTCCTTAGCCCTTCTCTTGCTGGCTCTGCTGAACACCCTGGGCTCTCGATAATTTCCTGTCCTCTGGCCCCAACCCCATATCTCCCCCTCCCTGAAACACTGAGGCCCTATTATGAGCAAGACTCCCTGTTGGTGTCCTTCACATACAAAGATGCCATACAAAGAGGGCACAGCCCCAGCCCTCAAGAAGACCATGTCTACCTCGAACTCTTTCCTTTGTGATCCCTTGTATCTAGATCCATCATCAGACAGATTTCTGGTCCTAGTGGAGTACTAGCACCAGGCTGATAGCTGATACTATGAGGAAGAGATCAAGAAACCTGTCAGGTAGAATTAGAATTTAAAGGGTAGAATTAGAATTTAAAAGGGATTCAGTACCTTGGACAGTGAGGCACAGAATAAAATCCAGAAGGCGTAAAGGGAATCCTCTATAAGTGGGCCTCTGGGTTGTTTAAATTTCTGCTCTTTTAAGCAATACAGTAACACAATGTCTTCAAAGATAGTTTGTTTGTTTTTTTTGGACACGCATTATCTCTACTGGATAAATCCCTGTATATGACCGCTGATTGAAATGGTGTGTGTATTTGAAGGCTTGTGATACAGTTCCCCAAACTTTAATATGGTTTTGTATGTTTAAAGCTAAACCTGTTCTGTTCTCCCAGGCCAGATCTGTTGAGATCTGAAGGCATCCCCAGCCTGGAGGTGGCTCCCACCGCATCCCCTCTGTCTGGAAGCCCCAAAATGTCCACCTCAAGCAGCAAGAGCCGATATCGGAGCAAACCGCGCCACCGCCGAGGGAATAGCAGAGGCAGCCACAGTGACTTTGCAGCAATCTTGAAAAACCAGCCAGCCCAAGAACACTCAGCCCACCCCGCTCATCTACACCAAGCTCAATCCCAATACCCTTCTCTGCAGCAGCAATACCAGCAACCCCCTCCAGCCATATCTCAGAGCCACCATCCCAGGCTCAATATGCACGGACAGGACATTGCCACCTGCGCCAACAACCTGAGGTATTTTGGCCCAGCAGCAGCCCTGCGGAGCCCACTCAGCAACCACGCTCAAAGACAGATGCCCGGCTCCAGCCCTGACCTCATCTCCACGGCCATGGCCGCAGACTGCTGGCGGGGCCCTGAGCCCGGCCAGGGCCAGGCCGGCCCCTGGGGCTGTTGTCAGACCGACCCGTGTGACCCCTGCGCACAGTGCAGGCCAGAACACTGTGGGTCCTCGGACGGTCCCTTTGCTGAGCCAGCGGGGAGGAGCCCCGACCTTTTCAAGTCACCAGCACACACTCTCCTCTCCGAAAATGCCCAAGGTTCTGAGAAAATGGAAGAAAACGAATTCGATGGCTGTAGGTCTGCCTCATCCCTTGGCGTCCCGCATCACATGACCCCGCCAGTGCTACCTCGAAAAACAAGGCCCCCTCAGAAGGTAGGCGGCCGTGCCAGCTGTGTGTGTCCCAGCCTTCGTGGGGTGTCAGAGCCTAGGGTGGTGTGTGCGTTACAAAACATACATACATGGAAAGTGCACAGTTTGTGAAAGGATGAGCCAACGAAAGCTTAAACAGAAGCTTCGTTTATTTTAAATACTTTCTTTTCACACTGCACAAGTAATGGACTTATAAATACATGGTGAGAACTACTGAACCAATGAACTAATTGAAATGTACATAATTTATAGGTAGATAAATAACCATATATTAGGAATATGTAATTGAAATAGTTTGGAAAGCACTACTCTATCCTAGTCCTGGGGGATGGTGCAAGAAGAAAGGATCCCATCATAAAACAGGTTTGGTTAACACACTATTCTCTGTTCCTTCTGGGAGGTTCCTAGTATACACTAACAAATCCTAGACTTTGAGGAGTCAAGGAGTAACCTTGTTGAATCCAGCGGTCCCCTCACCTATTTGACTGTACTGCCTTTTTAAGATATCTACCAACCCCCTATGGAACTAATTTTCTTTACAATATATTTTGGAAAACATTGCCTTAGAGCTAGTGAGTTCTCAGTCATTAAACCTGCTCCTCGCGGCCTTGCCCACAGCCTGGGGCCCGTTAGCTGGGGGGCAGTCTACCATAGTGGTTATAAGCACGAGCTTGGGAGTCAGACAGACCTGAGTTCAATGCCAGGCTCTTCCACTTAGATCCTCTATGAACGCTGGTGTCCTTGTCTATGAAATGGGGCTAAGAATAGTGGGCCCTGCTTCGTTGGTTGATATGAGGATTAAATGAGTTAATACATATAAAGCATTTAGAATAGGGTTTGGTACATAGCAACCTTCTAAAAACTGAGCTCATCTTGCTAATGGGTTAAAAATAAGATTATGCATGAAAAGTATTTAACACACGGTAGATATTCACTCAATTCTAAGTATTGCTTCATATTATCATCACTATTCAGCAGGAGTTTAGTTGAAGGAATGAAAGGCTCTAAAATGTAAATGAGAATGTTTTGGCCAACTAGACATTTAATAGAAAAGAAGTTGAGGCTGAGGACTACTGTCTCAGAACTGTATTTCCTACACCACACGAAGTGCTGCTGCTGACTAAGTATTCCCAGAAGTTAAATTCTGTTTTGGGCGGGGCAGTAGATTTGGGCTAATCCAGTCTTTGCTCCCCTCACCCCTATGACCAGTAACATGTATTTTTTTGGTAACAACGTTATTGAGATATAACTCACATACCAAACAGTTCTTCCATTGAAGTATACAACTCAGTTCTTTTTTTTTTTTTATTCAGGGTTGTGCAACCATCACCACTACTAATTTTAGAATATTTTTACCACCCCAAAAAGAGACCTGCACCCTTTAGCAATCACCCACTCTCTGGTCCCTTCCCAAGTAACACGTCTCTTTGAACCATTCTGATTCCATTTTGATGCCACCTAGAGGTCTGCAGGCCACGGAGCGCATGCCTTATACATTTGGTCTCATTAGAACTGTACTCCTGGAGAGCAGGTCAACCTCTCTCTACTGACATATGCTTCCGCATGTGCTTCTGGGGTAAAGGGCTCATCTCAGCAGTCAGGGTGTCTCCATCCCTGTCTTTCCTACTGAGAAAGCATGTTGGAATGCGAAGTGGGTAAGAGTGATGGTATTTTAGAACGGACTTTCAAAATAAATTATCCTCAATCTTTGCTGTAATTACTTGGACCCAATTACCCACCTCACAAGAGAATTGAAGGAATCCAGTGCATCATGATGCTGTGGTTAAGGACAGTTGGTTTTAATGTGGCCGTTCCTATGCACTTGAAGGAAAATGGAATCTCCCCTGTGAAGGAAGATCCTCTGCTCAGACAGGACACTTACCCAGCCTTCCCGATCAACCATAGAGCCCGAGAGGCCTCAGATGTCCCTCATCCTGCCAACATGCTGACTCAATAATGTACTAAACGCCCACTTTGTATGCAGCATTGTATTAATGGTAGAGTGAAGGGCACGATACAACAAGATGTAGTCTGACTCTCAAATGATGTATATGTCTTAGTAGTGGAGATGATATGAGTATAATAACTCTCAGTGAAAAAGCGATTGGCCTATAAAAGGGCTTCGAACAATTGAAAGATCACTTCTTGGTGGAGTTCCTGTGACAGAGCCTGGAACCGCTAGTGACAAGGATTACCTGAGACTGCTCCAATATCCAAGGCTGCTTCTCCAGCTTCCCCTCCCTATCACTCACCTCCCTGAGGGCAAAGATAATGTTTATTTTAGTTTTATGTGTCTTCAAATATATAGTGCAGGGCCTGCCATCATGGACATCCAGGAAAAGTTGCTAAAAGAATGAGTGAAGATATATATGTTTAAAGATGACACTCAGCAAGCCACCACTCAGTGCTTTCTGATGATTAAATCATTGCAAGGACTGTGCGCACACGCATGTATGTACGTGTATGTGTGTGTGTGTGAGAGAGAGAGAGAGAGAAAGAGACTTAAAATTCTTTTCTCCTGTTTTCCATAGAGTGGAGATGAGTCCTCAGAAGAGGAAGAAGGGGAAGTGGATAGTGAAGTTGAATTTCCACGAAGACAGAGGTAAAACAGTCAAACACATGTAATTGCTTTCCATGTAATCGGGGGAACCCAGAATTTGCCTCACTTGCTGTTCAATTGCATGTCACTTTCTAACTGGCATCTTGTAAGGGAACAAACTCACTGTGTTTATGGTTTCCCATTGCCACTTTCTAGCAACTGGCTATGCACAGCCAGCCCCAGTTTATCAGATTCACTTCATGGGAACTTCAAGATGAGGAGCATAAATGCAGATTCACGGTTACAGCTGGGAATATAGGGGGCAGTTTATGAGGGATGGCCGTGTATCTTATGGATAATTTTATTGGTTTCTAGTGTGTCTCCCTGAATTAATTTGCTCAGGCTGCCGTAACAAAATACCATAGACTAGGTGGCTTAAACAATGGAGATTTATTTCTCACAGTTCTGGATGCTGGTAAGTCCAAGATCAAGGTTCCTGGTGAGAACTCTGTTCCTGACTTGCAGACAACAGCCTTCTTAATGTGTCCTCACATATTTGGGGGTGGGGGAGAGTAAGGGGGAGACAGATATCTTCTGCTTATTTTTAAATTATATTTTATTGATTATGCTATTACAATTGTCCTGATTTTTTCCCCCTTTGCCCCCCTCCCCCCTACTCCCTTGGGCAATCCCCCCACCATTGTTCATGTCCATGTGTCATGCACATGTTATTTGGCTACTCCATTTCCTATACTGTACTTCACATCCCCATAGCTATTCTGTAACCACCTATTTGTACTTCTTAATCCCCTCACCTCTTCACCCATTTTCCCCCACCCCCCCCATCTAGCAACCATCTGATAACTAACTTCTTTCCTCTTGCTGCTTTTAAGAGCCTCTTTTTATCTTTAACCTTTGGCTTTTTAATTATGACCTGTCTTGGAGTGGGCCTCTTTGCATCCATCATAATTGGGACTCTGTGTTAGCTGGACTTGCATGTCTGTTTCCTTTGCCAAATTAGGGAAGTTTTCTTTCGCTCTTTTTTTCAGACAGACTTTCAATTTCTTGCTCTTCCTCTTCTCCTCTGGCACCCCTATGATGCGAATGTTGGACCTCTTGAAGTTGTCCCAAGGACTGTTTATACTACCCTCACTTTTTTGGATTCTTTTTTCTTCTTGTTCTGCATGGTTGTTTTTGCTTCCTTATGTTCCAAATCATTGATTTTATTCTCAGCTTCATCCACTTTGCTGTTGTTTCCCTGTAAATTATTCTTTATTTCAGTTAGTTTATTCTTTGTTTCTGACTGGGTCTTTTTTATGCTACTGAGGCCCTCACTAAGTTCCTTGAGCATCCTTACAACCAGTGTTTTGAACTCTGCATCTGATAGGTTGCTTGTCTCTATTTCATTTAGTTCTTTCTCTGAAGTTTTGATCTGTTCTTTCATTTGGGCCATGTTTCTTCGTCTCCTCATTTTGGCAGGCTTCGTGTGTTTGTTTCTGTGTATTAGGTAGAGCTGCTTTGACTGCGTGGCTTGGGAGTGTGGCCTGATGTAGTAGGTGTCCTGCAGGGTCTAGTGGCACAGCCTCCCCTGTCACACAAGCCAGATACTTGAGGTGAGCCCTTTGCGAATACACGCTCCTCTTGTAGTTGAGCCTTGGTGGCTGTTGGCAGAGCAATGGGAGGGATTTACCCAGGCCAGTCAGCTGTTAGGTTTGGCTGTGACCATTTACCACCAACCTTGGCCCTCTGTGGAGGATCAGCTGTGCAGAGGCAGGGTGGTGGTGCTCTGGTGTGGTCTGTAGCTGTCCAGTGGGTGTGCTGGCCCTGGGGTTTCCCAGTTGGTGCAGGCCAAGGTCAGCCCCCACTTGTGTTTTGCCCGGGGTACCCTGCCTGAGCTGTAAAGCAATCTGAGATGGCTGCTGCTTGTGCAGGGCTTAGAGATTGCTAGGCAAAGCCAAGCTGTGAATCTAATCTAGCTACCACTAGGGATCACTGAAGTCAGCTGTGGCTTGTTTGATAGGATTTAGGAGCCAAGACCAGCCATTCTTATGGAAAAGCAGCTTGGGTGGGCTGGTAAATTGGGTGGGGCAGAGCCTCTGGGGATCTCCAAGGTGGGTCCAAGAGTGTTAGCCAGGCTGTTGGAATCTAAGATATGGCACTAGCTTACCAGCTCTGTAGGGGGAGGGTTTAGCAAAGGAACAATGGCCTGTGCTCACCTTGATGCAGACACTTCAGTTCCTCCCTGTATGTCACTGGTGCCTTTCAAACTGCTGCCCCGGTGCTGGAGCTCAGAGAGAGTGAGCCTGAGTAGGTAAGTCCGTGTGTGGGTTCTTTAAGAAGAACTGCTTGGGGCTTCGGCAATTTCTTCCACCGACTCAATCCCTGCTGGTTTTTGCAGCCAGAAGTTGTGGGAACTTATCTTCCTGGCACTGGAATCCTGGGCTTGGGGGCCTGGTGTGGGGCTGGGACTCGTTGCTCTCCAGATATCCCTCCCAAATTTTTATCCCTGTGCATGTGGGACCAGCCCATTAGCATCTGTGCCCCTCCTACCAGTCTGGGTGGATGTGTGTTAATTCTGTAGTTGTCAGACTTCCATTCAGCTTGACTTCTGACATTCCTGAGCCGTGGTTGTCCGATATTTTAGTTGTAATTTTAATGTGGTTGTGCAAAGAGGCGAGCCATATCTGCCCATGCTGCCGTCTTCTTGTGTTGCCCCTCTTCTTTTTATAAGGCCACATCCTATAGGATTAGGGCCCTACCTATATGCTCTCAACCTTAATTACCTCCTAAAGACTCTATCTCCAGATTTAGTCACATTGGAGGTTAGGGGTTCAACATATGGATTGGGACGGGGTACACATTTCAGTCCATAGCACTCTCCATGTCTTGGATTTTATACCTCAGACTAATTATAGTTAGATTAGATGAGTTGAGTCCCTTTCAGCTAGCCTTAGGAAGATCTTCCTGCTTAGCCAGCAATAATAATTTTCCTGTAGGATTAAAGAGCTAATCCTATGTAGGGTTAGGGAAGGTAGTTTTCCTCCCAAGAGGCCTTTTCTGCTAATAAGCATTTTGTTCTTTAAGAGTAAAGCTCTAGGAAGGTTTGTGTACCTTCCCAGAAATAGGAAATCCCTAGAAACCAAGGGACTCCTAGTCCTTTGGTAAATAGTATTCTGGCTCCCCATGCTGTGTACAAAATTGACATCTGTTCTCATCTGAGCTATTCCTGCCATGAAGCTCTTGCTGCCTTATTGTCTCCTTGGACACCGTTTTCTCCTTTGCATCCACATTATGCCCAAGTAAAATGAACTCGTTCTACTGGCATCACAATATTACTTCCAGCTTTTGTTCCTTCGACACACAATGAACTCAGCCCACCTACTGGCTCCCCCGCTTTCTTTTGTGGCTGTGATGCAAATTATACGTATGTTTTCACCATATAGTTTTGCTTTCCATATTATAACATTCTTCCCCCTGTCTCCCGTCTGGATTACCAGCCTTGAGGAGTGGCGTGAGTCTTACCTCCACTTCCCTTCCCACATTGGCTTTTCCCCTGTGAGCTTGATGCCCCCGACCCCAGCCCACCGCCTGCCCGGTCATCAGCCAGGGTCAGATCATACGCCAGTAAAATCACTTTGTACTAAGAAATACAGAAAGATCAGACAATGCCAGCGAGAAAAGGCAGTCTTCTTTTATTATTTGTCCTGTTTTGTTTTTAAACCAGTATAAGCTAACAGCATTATTATTTACCATGGGAAAGAAGTGAAGAACTTTTGCAAACTCTCTTCCCTGCCCCACCCCCCAAACTTTGCCTTATAAGGGCAAAACCCAGATGGTAACTGGAATGAGCCACTGACTGGCCAAGCAATGCCCCCAGCTGCAGAGTGAATGGCCCTTCCAAGCTCATTTCCGTTGGGGATGGGTTGGCAGGGCGGTGAAGGCGCTCCTTCCAGGCTGCCGTGCCGACGGGCAGCGTGGCTGGGGTGGAGTGAGGCAGAGGAGGACGCGGAGCCTAGTGGGAATAGACCCCCCCAAGCCGCAGCTCTGCCTTTGCTGATGGTGTGGCCTTGAACAAGTCACTTCCCTTCTCTGGCTCTAGTTTTCTGGTCTGGAAAATGAGTTAGACTGGAGAACATCCAAAGTTTATTTTACCTGTGAGAATCTGGGCTTCTGTGAATAAGAAGCGTAATTTCAATTCGAACATTTCCATACCACGCATAGGTACACACAGTATGATTAGAAGGGCTGATTTTTTTCAAGACCAGCTGTAGCCATCAGCTTTGGTGTTTAGCCACATAAACATATAGATTGCCCTTTCAGTTGCTTTCCAATTAAATAGTTTCAACCTATCTGAATTTGAATCTCTCTGAAGGGCAGGAAAAAAAAACTAGGTGGCCTCTCACCAGGGCTAAGATTGACAGACAGGTAAGGGAAGTAGTTTTTCCGGTGATTGAGTTCCTCTGGTTCTTTGTGGTTCTAGGCCCCATCGCTGTATCAGAAGCTGCCAGTCATATTCAACCTTTAGCTCTGAGAATTTCTCTGTGTCTGATGGAGAGGAAGGAAATACCAGTGACCACTCCAACAGTCCTGATGAGTTAGCTGATAAGCTTGAAGACCGCCTGGCAGAGAAGCTAGATGACCTGCTGTCCCAGACACCGGAGATTCCCATCGAGATATCCTCACATTCAGACGGACTCTCTGACAAGGAGTGCGCCGTGCGCCGCGTGAAGACGCAGATGTCTCTGGGCAAGCTGTGTGTGGAGGAACGTGGCTATGAGGTGGGGCCTCTCCTCCCTTCTCCTCTCATCACTGTTCCCTTCCTGTCGCTCTTTGGAGTTACAGCCCGCTCCAGTCCTGAGGTCCTTCACAATTATCATTTAGTACATGATACTAAACTGCCCCCATGAAGTTAAATAGAAGTACACAGATCAACAGAGCTCCCCAAAACGAGGGTAGTTCTCCCAAATGAGGCACAAACGTTGAACTGCTCAGGAACCCTTCTTTCCAAGACTTAACTCAAACATCCCCTCCTCCTGGCCCCATCTCCCAGTCGGGTTAAGGGTGTGAGCCTCCCTCCCCCATGTCCCCACGATCCCCTGATGATGCTGTCGGAGCACCTGTAACACTTTGGCTCATGTTCAGGGCTGCCTTCCGAGAGGCAAGATATCATTGTGGTTGAAACTGTGTACCCTGGAATCTGACTGCCTCATTGCAAACCGCAGTCTTTCCACTTATTTACTGTGTGATGTCGGACAAGCCACTTAACATTTCTGCAAATCAGTTTTCTCATCTGTAAAATGGGTGTGATAACAGTGTCTGTCTCATAGGGTTGTTGTCAGGGTTAAAAGGATTAATACACGTTAAGCACGTACAGCAATGCCTGAAACAGAGTAAACCCTACATAACGGGGCAGTGGTGGCACTGTTATTATTGTCATCATTGTCGTTGTCACAATCATCATCTTTAGATCTCCTTTTTTCTCCATAAGCACCACAAGGACAGGACTTGGTCTCATCTCTCCTTGTAGTCCCCTTACCCACCACGCCAGCACAATGCCTGCCATGTGGGAGGTGTTTGCTATATGTCTGCTGAGAGATTGCAGAAGTGAATTAAGGTTTTATTCTGTCTTGACTTCGCAGAATCCTATGCAGTTTGAAGAATCGGACTGTGACTCTTCCGATGGGGAGTGCTCTGACGCCACAGTGAGGACCAATAAGCACTACAGCTCTGCTACTTGGTAGCGAGAGAATACCCGTCCCGAAGATGTCCTGACAGCACTGGCATTTCAGATCCACCCCACCCCCCGATTCTTCCCGTTCTCTCCCTGCTTTTTTTTGTCTGGGAAGAGAGCTGCCCCATCTTTCTTATCCCTAGAAATGAGCTGCAATAACAGGAACATGAGACTTTGCAAATCTCTGGAAAAAAAAATATCCAAATGAGATTAAGTCTCACTGAACATTTCAATCAAGAATGGCAGGGATCTATTTTATTGAATATTCTAGCTACTGTAACATTGATATTTATTTTTGTTTGACATTTTAACACTTTGTACTGTAAAGATTGAACTATATATGATATAGAGAGAGACACAATAATTTCTTGCAAAAAAGAGAGAGAGAGAGAGAAAGGAAGAAAGGAAAGGAAGAATGGAATTTAGGAGCAACATTCTTGGGAATTTGTGGGGCCAAGATGTATTATTGCTACTTGAACAGGGGACCAGTTCTTTTGGCCATAGTGACTGAAGAAGAGACAAAGCAAGACATGTTGAGCATTTCAGGAAACAAAGAACAGCAAAAGAAAAGCAATCCCAAGGCAACTTAGGAATAGACCACAGTAGGTTCAACCAGCTTATCTTATGGGTGATGGAAATGACCTAGAAAAGTTTGGTGACCGGATACTTGCACCTGCGGTCTTTAAGGCCACGTGCTTCCTCTAGGAGGAAGAAGAAAACTGTGTATGTGAAAACTGGTTTCATTTTTTAAAACTTTTAAGCAACATTTGGTTGCAAGACTTAACAGATAGAGTCAAACCTTCCTTGACAAATATTTACCTTTTCAATGCTGTCATTGTCATTACCTTGACAAATGTATTACTTGACCAATGTGCCATTTTCTTGTAGCCATTTCCTTCCACCTGTGGACCACTTCCACTAGGAAAAAGGGGAGGGCTGAGGAGGAGAGAAGGATAAGAGAAAAAGGAAATTGACAACAGTGCTACAGAAGCACATGGAAAGGGTGTACAAGCACCTTGTCAGGATGTCCCAGTTCATCTCAGTGGAGAAGCTGAAACCACCCCTCTCTGGAACCAGGGTGTTTGACTACTAGAGTCATATTGATTCAAACAGGAGAACAGACTTCGAAGGCAGCTAGAACGAGTGAGCCTCTCCAGTGTCCAATCCCAAACCATCCCCTTGTTTTTATTCATTAACTCATTCTGTCCTGTAAGCTTTAGTGACTGGCTACCACTCTCAGAATAAAGGCAAAATAAGCAACTTGCAAAAGGGAACTCGTCTCCCACCACAATAGCATTTTTGCTAAATGCTATTTGTAAAATGTATTTTACTTCTCTTAGCATCAATGCAGTTTTAAATAATTGGATTTGGAAATTTGTTGAAAGAACAACTGATGCTGAGCAGCAACTGGGAAGGTTTTACTTTGTCCAAGGCATGAGGTCCTTCCTGTCCAGGGTCATGGGCTCTGAAAAGCATCCCAAAGTACTTCATGGTACCTCAGCTTTAAGCTAATTTTTATGTAGAATTTTACAGAAAAACAAACGTTGGCCTCATTCCTGCCTGTCAAACAATGTCTCCGGGCTCGAGATCTAAAGAAGGGGGCTACACTCTTTGACACGGCATCATGTGGAGCATTAGGAAAGACTTGCACATATGGGGATTAAACCATTTCCAGTGCGGATGAAACTCTGCCCTCCTCTGGTGCCACTGACGGCATCGGCCAAAAAGGAAAGACAGGAGGGAATTTAGAGCAGTTCCTTTTGCTTGTTTGACACCCCCCCCCATTTGTTTACAATTTATGTTGAGATATTAATTTAAAATTTAGTGTCTATAATTTATAGCTCTTAGGTAAGATGAAGGAAAAATGTTTAACTTATACAGAGAGCAGTATTGTTTGCATTAAATTATTCCATTTTGTATAAATTCTGTAGCTGGACTACACGAAAGATCTTAAGTTATGGCATTATTATCATTGTTATTTTATTTTATAATTATTATCATTTTCTGTCGATCAGAAGGTGTGGTTTACAATGTAGCACAATGATTGTGTTTATTGCTAACCATGAATTATTATGAATTTTTATGATTTTTATGAAGGAATGAAAATGGAACTGCCACTTGGGAGCTCTCCAGTATTCATCTTAGGTGCATTCCCTCATTTTCTGTGTACAACAACAATCATCTGAGGATGCGTGTTCTGCCCTGGAGCCCAACTGGTACATTGTGACTTATCCTGGAAGCTCCTGGGCGGGCAGATGACTAAGTGGATGGATGGACAGTTCAAAAGCTGTAACCTTTCTCAAGTTTCTTAAGAAATAAAATCATGAGACTACACTAGAAGCCAAAAGAGAGTTATTTAATGCCCTAGGAGGAGCAGACCTGGAGAATGTCTGCATGGGGCCTGTGGGTTAGATAGTTCTGACCCCTGGTAGCATAGTCTGTCATCTTGTTCCTGCCAGATTCCACAAAACCAACCTGTTTTCTCCTAGTTGGGGTAGCATGGAAACTAAAAAGAAAAAATATTTATATATATATGTGTGTGTGTGTATATATATATATATACACACACATAGCTATGTATACACATATATATATATATTTTATGTCATCCTCTAACACGACTAGAGACATTTTAGAAAGGCTTCACTGCTTAGAAGCTCATAGGTCTGGAAAAGTGCTCCCCTGAAGAGCCCTGTTTTCAGATCACATGATACTGTGAGTCTCTCTGGTTCAGTGCTTCTGGGAAAAGAGTGGCTACAGCTCTGTGTCCTCTTTCCGTCCAACATAACACGCTGATACTTCAGCTGGTCCGGTTCTTGCCCACTTATGGGCAAAAGAGAAACATGACAGTCGATGTCTGTCTTACACCTTTCAGTCACAATCTTCCCAGAAAACCCCACGCCATACTTTTAGTAAGTTTTTTGATTTCCCATCTTGACTATCTGTCATGATAATGCCGTATACCTGTCGGGACATACTGTTACAAGCATGTTAGGGTAGTATACAGCATTGAATCTTTAGTCATTCACTTTAGGCATTCACATCAAAAGTTTAATGAAGTTTCACACTAAACATTTTTATTTGCTTCTTAATAGAAGTCACTAGAGGTTTCGGGGAAGAACAGTGTCTTTAGGTTAAGAAGAGAAAGCCTTCTCCACCCCAGCGCCGCCTTCCCCTGCGTGCCTGAGGTTCCCAGGACAGTACTGAATCCGTGTATTTCTCTGAGAATTCCATTCACCTGAGGAGCGGTGGGTCAGGAGCTCAGCGAATTTAACAGCTAATTCTTCAGTCCTGATGACTCTGCAACAGCACTTTAAGGAACCTCGCAGGACTGTCATTTTAAGCTTCATTGTGGATTGAAAGTTTAACCCCCTTGGGATGAATGTCCACATTCACCTAGCACGTTTGTTACTACAAGATAACAAGTTTTAATTTGTGTTGCAGATAGGCATTTATTTCTCATTTCCAGCTATTTATGGGTCATGTATGCTGAATAACAATTCCTCTCAAAATTGGTTAGAGCAATGGAGAAGGCTGCCTCCACTTGAAATTATAATAGAGCTTAAAGTCTAGACCTGTTTGCAAGATGGTAGGGAGCACCTGTGTAGAAAGGTCACGATGCCGGCTCTGCTGTAGGATGGTCTGGTGTACCTGCGTGATGCTAAAACTTGAGCATCAACAAATCCATCCCTCAAGGATGAAGGGTATTTTTAGTAGAATTCAATAAGTACGGGACATCCATTCCAGGGCCTCTTTTTGCTAAATTTCCCTCGTATGCAAAGTAATAGATTTAATGGCTTTGGGTTTTCCTGGTACCAACCCAGTATTAAACGCCTGCCTCCACTGCGGAGCGCTGCCACCCTTTCAGCGCACTGCGTCCTTACTGCCCAAATGATTTGCCCTTCCCACCCCCTTACGTTTCACTTTTTTCCCCTTAAAATGTTCCTGCTTGAAGTACCTGGAACTGAAGTCTCCAAATTGAACATAATACTTGGAAACCTAGAAATTCTGGTTCTACTCTACAGTATAGTGTGAGAGACTTTTTTTACCACTATAATATATATTTTTATATTTTTGCCATTATATTTTTATATATAACATTTTAATATATGTAACACATTTTTACATATATAACATTTTGTCTATTTTATATATTATATAAATATAATTTATATAGTATATATTTTATATAGTATATACTTATATGTTACAGCCAACATGGCAGGTACCTGAGGAGAGGACCCCTGTGGGACCTGCAATACTTCTCGGGGACAGGTGGCAGGAGGGGGCGCTCTGAGAAAGAGGGTTACCCCAAAGGGGTTAAGGTTTTGATTAATGGTCGTATGACCATTATATAGTATATACTTATATACTATATAAAATGTTATATATGTTATAATGTGTGTGTGTGTGTATATATATATATACACACATACATATATATATATTTGGCCACTAAGCCAGAAACCAAAATGCCACCACATACAGCCATCAGCAACCTATACTATAAACACCCAAGGCCAATGCTATTTACTGGTCACCATATTCTTTCCTACTGAGCCCGGGCACAGCTGCAGAACCTCTCACAACATAGCACAGGGAGCAGCAGCTACCACTTGATTAGAACTGGCGTGCTCATAATTAACTTCCAAAAGGTGGCTTGAGATCTGGAGTCAGCCTGACGGAAAATGACAGGATCACAGCCGTGTGCCCCTCGGGGATCCCCCCAACCTGCCGCTGGCTCTCGGGGCAGCACCACTTGCCTCCACCCACTGCCCATCTGGACTATGATTCCGATTGAATAACCTGCAATCACTGACGAAATTCCAGAGTGTCTCTTCATTTACATCATTTCATCGTGTTAAATAAGCATGCTCCTCCCTCCCTTTCTATAAACTGGAAGTTAATACAGTGTGTTAAGTCCCAGTTACTTGCTTCTTCCTTTGACTTTGTGAGACTAATGTTCCAAAACAATGCGACATTCTTTTTCTAAGACCTTTCTTGACTTGTATTGTCAGTATGATTTTCATGACTTTCCAAGCAGTGAGATCTTTTTTCTTTACTGATTTCCTAGAATAAATGTCCAGGATATTCACACCACCCATGTCCCCAGCCTCGTTATAACGCTGGCGCATGAGAATCCCGTCAGTCTGCTTGTTTGCATGTTACAGCCAGCACGGCAGGCACCTGAGGAGAGGACCTCTGTGGGACCTGCAATACTTCTTGGGGACAGGTGGCAGGAGGGGGCGCTCTGAGAAAGAGGGTTACCCCAAAGGGGTTAAGGTTTTGATTAATGGTCGTATGACCAGAGCATGAAGGCAGGATTTCACACAGAGCCAAGCCTCCAAGCAGATGGCCAGGCCACTGTGAGGAAACGTCTGGCAGAATCCGACCTGCTCTGTAGAGCCACTTCACAGCACGCAGGCGGATGTTTTAATTTCCTCCTGATTATTCGGGCATAGCCTAGGTAGGCGCTCTGCTTCTTCCCCGTGGCTTTCCTCCTGCCCCATCTTATAGCTACTAAGCTTTCGTGACCTCACTATAAAGCGAGCATAGAGAGGGAAAAGGTCAAAGTGAAAATCTGGCTTCCAAAAAATAATACTGGTAAAATGCCTGGAAGGGGAGAGCTAAAACACCATTTTGGATTGTCTGATTTTCAGCTAATCCTGACTCCCACTGGCAAGGGGAATTGAAAGTTGGCAACATGTCCAAACACATACCACACAGAACATTTACATCCATTTATTTGGGGAATTGCTTTACCTGTAAACTCACAACTGCTAAGGCACATTGTTGCAAGGTTACGGGGGACAAGGGAAGGAGGGCAAAGTGTGGAGAGCTTCCTTGTTTCTCCCTCCCTTCCCCTTCTCCAGGAACACACAGCCACCGGTTTCAAAGTTCAGTTGGCCTCCTCTTCACCTCCACCCTTGTTCTCAAGCTTCTTTTAAAGTAACACTTCTTTCAAAATGAAGTTCTTGTTGTGGCTTTGTTGTAGTTTGTTTTTGTTTCAAAAATCATACAGGTCCAAAAAACAATGCTTGGGGATTCATTCTCAAGAATTCATGTAGAACACATGGTCTAGATTAAAGCCTTGGCAAGAGTCTTGGCCAAACCAAATCAAAAACCCAGATGATTATGCCCAAGGGCAACAGTTCTGGTGAGAATTAAGTTACTCCTGTAGGGTACAGAGACCCAGACCTGGTCAGTTTAGGTGTGACAGTCCTTCTGTCCTGGGAAGTATTAACCCAGGTCTGTGCCAATTCAATACTGCTGCTATAGGAAGCAACGGCAGGTACAGGTAACTGAAATACAACACAATAACCCCAAGTCAAGTTTTCCTCTTAGAATTAAAAATGAAATATAATTATTCCTCAAGTTATTCTTGGCAAATGACAAACTGAAAAACCTTCAGAGGGGACACTGGCTAATAGCTGAGCGTACTGAATCCATTCCCCCAGCAGGCGGGAGAAGGAACTGCCACACAGAGAGGGCAAAAGGTACTGATGGTCATTTGGTTCAGGTCAGTCAAGGGCCCTGCCCTGCCCAGGTGGATGGGAACTTCTCCCAAACATATCCATAAAATACAGAGTTTGCACCATTCATATTTAATTGTCTGTCTGCAATCAGCTTATTTGTCAGGACACGCCACCAAGAGGAAATGTGACATACAAGATAACATCAGTGTGTCTGAACACAAAGAGCATCACGGAAGTCACTTGCATCTGAGCTGTACACTGAGGTTCTAAGCAGTCTGTCAGCTTCTTTCCCTTGGTTTATGGAAGAGGTAGATCAGCAGCAAAAGAGTGCAGGACAAACACTCTTCAGGGGACTAACAAGATGAAGAGTGATGTCAGTGACATGAGTTCACATGTCATCATTTACACTAATAACCAACATCAAGGACTTAATGGAACACCTGCCACAACAGCCTATCACGGTGCAAAAGAGGCACTCTGGACGAGGAGGTCAGCATCCTCTCCGGAGGCAGCTCAGGGCTTGGCAAGAGGCAAATACATCAGACCATCCCGAGTTCTTTGTTACTCAATAAATATCAACTGGATTTTCTAAGAGGTTATCCATTCCACGGAGTGTCCTGTTAAACCAGGGCTTGTTTGAGAACCTGATATAATTCACCTTCTAGAGCACAGTGGCCTTTATGACAAGACACTGCACACAGATGAAGTGTCCAAACCACCTGTTGAGGGTAATTAAAAAACAACAAAGGGCTGTAGAGGACCACACCCATTACACACAGAGGCAATAGAGTCCAGAGACACAGCAACCAAAAAACCCAGGTCACATGTCCTTTCTGTTACTTAGATGATTGGTGTTGCTTGTGCCATTCAAATGCAGGTCTTTCTGACTGAATTTTTTAATGAGGGTTCCAGGAACTAAAGCCACCAGGGCGATGGCCAACAGCTTAAAGACAGTTTCCCAGGAGAACAGGGCATCCAGAGAGGTTAGGGTGGACAGGATGGAGCCTGTCTGCACACAGATGAAGTTGTAGGGGATCAAACCTGGAAGAAGAAGAGAAGAGCCTGTAACTGGAGGGCACAGGCAAAGGAAGAGCGTTAGCCCTTCAGGAACGGCACCACGAATCCACAGCAGGGACCCCAGGTTTGGCTTTTCCCCCAGCTCCTAACCCCTAAACCTATTGCCTCTTTCCCTGCTTCTTTTCCATTTTTCCCTCCTTTCTTCACTTCCCGTATGCACGTGTCTTGTTCAACAGAAGGACTTGAGGTGCCTTTCAAAATATATACACTACAGTAAGATTAAAAAGACTTTAACAGGAAAAATAAAATGAATGAAGAATAAAATAAGGGAGAACAATTAGGACAAAAATGCATAAAGCTCACCCATTTGCTGGAGGTAGGTCTTGACTTTGGTTCCGAGCACCCAAGAGCCAAGTAAGGCAAAGCACCAGCATCATGGGATTTACAGTGTGCTCAACATAAAAACAGACAACTTTCTCAGAAGTACTACTTTTTACGTTCTATACTGTTTCCAAGAGGTCATCCAATTCATTGGACCTCAAAAGCCTGAGTGGTGGCTACGCAGGCTGGTGGCCTCACATTCCTCAGGCTCCACCCTGAGATTCTGGTTACCAGAGGAGACTGGTTACCTTAGAAGGGCATCAGGGACCTGCATTTTTTTTTCCTTTTTAAAAAATTTATCATTTTTTATTTTCAGTTACAGTTTTGACAGACATTATTACATTAGTTTCAGGTGTACACACTGATGATTAGACATTACATAACTTCAGAAGTGATCACCCCGATAAACCTCGCACCCAGCTGGCACCACGCAGTTATTAGAACATCACTGACCACAGTCCCTACGCTGTACTTTACATCCCCATGACTATTCTGTGACAACCCATGTGCCCTTCTCAATCCCTTCCCCGCTTTTCACCTGTCCCTCCAACCTCCTCCCATCTGGCAACTGGCAAATTGTTCTCCGTGTCTAGGCATCTGGTTCCGTTCTGCTTGTTTATTTTGTTTTTCAGATTCAATTTTTGACAGATATGTATCTCCTGCTATTTTATTGTTTATATATTTTATTCTTTCTCTTAATCTTAAAGAAGACCCTTAACAGGAACCTGCATTTTAACAGCCTCTCCCCCGCCTACTCTGGTGCGTTTCGGACCCCCTGATAATCCACCCCTCTCCTACAGATGATGCCTCAAGATCACAGACCACTCAACATCACACAGCTTGTCAGGGGGGAGACTGGAACTCTGGAGTCCAGGGTCTTTCCTAGCTTTGTGCCACCCAGGTTAAAACAGGCTGCTGAGGCACTAAGGCACTTTGTCTGAAACCTGATATGACCAGAATTAACTGTGGCAGATTCTGCTTTGCTGTAAGATCTCAATTTCTCTCAAGAATCCTCTATTAATAGCAGCTGCTCAGCTACAGATTTGTTATGTTTGACATAGAAGCCCTGATTATTCTTTCCCTCCATGCCCTAAAGAAGGTTTAAGGGAGGTAAACCTTGCCTTAGGCTTAAAGAGAATGGTTTACTTCCAGGACAAAATAATAGTCACTGACCTAACAGGATGTTAGCTCTACAGCGTGCTGATAAAGGTGGTTCAAGGCCCATGCTTTGAGAAACACTGCTCTAGCCCCTCATCTGGCCAAGTGGCCCAAGGGTGAGTGGCTCACTGAAGGTCACACAACTGTCAAAAGGTAAGAGGAACTTCAGTGGTGCCAGCTCTTCCTAAGGCAGATCTTAATTAAAAGAGGGGCCAAAGCCAGCCAGGAAGTCCTTTGCTCTGTTCCTTTCTTCTGCCTCTACCGTTTCCTCTGCCCACATACCCTTACTCCGACCCTGCATCTCCTGCGGTGTTTACTGAGCACCTCTCGTGGGCCGAGCCATGTGCTCTAGATTCCTCCTCTAATCCCGATGCCTAGGGCAGTGCTGGGCACACAATAGGGACTAATATAGTGGTAAAATAAATAGTCCTATCCTTTCTGAAAGTATTTTTATAAGGTTTCTTGCTGAAGCCTAAGTAGATTTGCAATCAGGATCTTAGCCAATGAGGCTTGAAGATGCTCCTCATGAGCCACTGCTCTCAGAGGCAAGCCCGTGCCCTGTGGCTGCGAACCCAGGGCAGTTCCCGGCATGCCCACTCTGAGGATTCGAACTTACTCCATCAGCTTCTTACCAAAAAGAACAGAGAAGAAGAACTGCCCAAGGGGGATGTTCAGAATTGGAGCCGAGAGGTTCAAGAACCAGTTTGGTGTCATGGGGAAAAGTCTCAAAAACAGTAGGAAAAAAAACAAGCTGTTTCTGTTCTCCTCCACCTGTAGCCAAAGAAGACAAGGCATTAGGAAGCAGAAAGAGTCTCCAGGTATTGAAAATCTGTTGGTGCCAAGCACTGTTCTAGATACTTTACATATTCTGATCCCGAATCTCCCAACAGCCCTCCAGGGGACAGACTGTTTTCCTCATTTTTAAAAGAGAGATACCCGAGGCTCTGAGATGTCAGGAACTTGCCTCAAGTCACAGAGCTGGTAAGGATGGTGCTGGGATTCAATCCCAGATCTGTGCCTCTTGGAGACATCAAAAGAATCCCTAGGGCTTCCAGAAGCAGGGCGGAGGGCCACAGTGGGAAATCCCTGCCCCTCACCCCCGTCAGGGCCATGAGGTGACTCTATGGGAGTCCAGCACTCAGAGGTGCCCCCCGCTTACCTTCCTCTGCAGTGGGGCCACTTTATCAGGAAAGTAGGAGACCACCAGTTGTTTGCCAAACATACTGGAAAGCAGGTAGCAGCACGTGGCACCCACTGATGTCAACACACAGCACAGCAGAAGCCCTAGCCATGGCCCAAACAAAGCACCGGCTAAAACATTCTGCAAAGAAAACAAACCATCAGCCATGAGAACATCTGGCAGCTACCAGTCACCTTACCCCGGACGTGAAGAGTCATAAGTTCCAGGGGGATAAATGGTGACAGAAGGAGACTTGACTTGGGGTGGTAAATGCACAATGCAATTTACAGATGATGCATTATAGAATTGTACAGCTGAAACCTGTATAATTTTATTAACCAATAAATTCAATGAAAAAAAGAAAAGAGTCTCCCTGGCCAGGTTGCTCAGATGGTTGGAGCATCGTCCTGTACACCAAAAGGTTGAGGGTTCGATTCCTGGTCAGGGCACATACCTAGGTTGCAGGTTTGATCCCCGTGCGGGAGGCAGCCAATTGATGTTTCTCACATCGATGTTTCTCTCTTTCTCTCTCTCTCTCTCTCTTTCCTCACTCTCTCCCTCTCTCTCTCTCTAAAATCAATAAACATATCCTCAGGTGAGGATTAAAAAGAAAAAGCAGAGTCATAGGTTCCCTCCACCCTCCTGGCCAAAACCCAAATCCCATTTTAAAGAATGAAAAGTGTTGAAAGAGCTGAGAACTACAACCCTGGCTCTGACCTCTTCAGCTTTATAACAGGGATGAGGATTAAAACCTCAGAGAGCAGAAGAGAATTAAATGAGAAAATAGCAGTATACAGCACCCAGGCTGCGGGGCGTCCTGAAACACGGGTGCTCCAAGAAGGCAGAAATGAAACCCACAAGTTCTTTTTACCATTTTAAATGAACACAGACCATGAATTCTCCCTCAGTAAGACCACACAAGCTATATGTAAAATGTCTTGGTTTTGCCCTGACTGATGTGGTTCAGTTGGCTAGGCATCGCCCCATAAAATGAAAGGTCACAGGTTCGATTCCTGGTCAGGGCACATGCCTGGGTTCCAGATTCAGCCCCCAGTGCATACGAGAGGCAACCCATCGATGTTTCTCTCCCTCTCTTTCTCCCTTCCTTACCCTTTCTAAAAATAAACAAATAAAATCTTTAAAAATAAAAAAAATAAAATGTCTTGTTTCTTTGCTTTTTGCTAGAATTAAATCTATCTGTGATGCTAACAGTGAGGGTTTCATGTTGACCTGAGATTTAGGTGACATTAAAAAATGTCTTGGATTAACAAAAATGACAAAGTGAGCCAATACGTCCTAAATGCAGCTTGGCTGGTTAACATCATCCTGCCATATGTGGGATCCCTATTCAATCCTCACCATGACCCTGTGTCATATACTGTCCTTACCCCCTCCTACAGGTGAGAGATTGAGTATCGTGCCCAAGATCACACAGGGCGGAGATGAGATTCACCTCTGCATGGCGGCTGGCTTTTTGCTCTCAAGAGGGATCAGCTCAGGTGGGAAGGCGGGCACCCAAGGAGTTGGCCCCTGACCTTGAACACCACACACCTCCCTGTCTCTCTTAGCAAGGCCGCATTTGCTTCTCTTTCAGTTTCCAACAAAGAAACTGCTTAAGCAGATCCAGCCTAAGCCTGCAGTAGAGAAAAGCTGCTGGGGCAGGAGACAGAAGCAGGATTTCCTGTTCCATCACTCAATCCTTCAACAAGTGCCTGAGGACCACTGTGTGCCAGGCACTATCACCATGCCAGCCACTTGACACCCACTGTTTCATTTCGTCCTCCTACACAGCAACCCTACAGGGTTACATTTGAAGAAACAGGGTTGGAGAAGTTAAAAAGGCTGCCCAGGGTTACACAGCTGGGATTCAAACCCACCCCATGCCCTAACATACATACATTCACACATTTACATGAACCAGTTTAAAATGCTACTGAGAGAAGAGCACAGATTTTTCTGTATAACCTGGAATGGCAACTGATGAGTAGCATCCAGCAGCCAGAGAACAAGCTCAGGTCTAACACTGTGGCTCCAGAGTGGCTACCTGGAAAATCACAATGACTTGTTCTCTCCACACCAGGGAAACTTCTTGATCCTCTACACCTAACATTATTACCATGAACAACTTACATTTGTTCATCAAACACTTAGGAAGGTACCTCACTATGCCAGGCAAAAGAATACAAGAGCTGAGAATAAGAAACAGGCCCTATCCCTCCCAGAATTTAGGAACTCACACACTAATGGAGGAACAGTTTTGGGGGAATCGGGGTGGCCTTGATAAGAAGAACTTGGGTCCCCTAAAAACAGATTTTTTTTGTCCTGGCTGTTTCTTTAATGCATTTGCTTCTTTATCTAAAACACTGCTAACATGCAGAATATCACAGGGCTCTTAGGGGGAAGAGCTGACGCAGTCCAGGGTACATGTCTGTGTCTCTCAAGAACAGTGATCCATAGCTCTCACTGCCTTAGAAACAAAAGCAGCATATCTTAGAGGAAAGGCACACTCGGAGCTGGTGGAAGCAGGTTCAGATCCCAGCCCTACCCCCTCCTCACCTTGTCCCCTTGGACAGTTACTCAACCTCTCCCCACATTATAAAGCTGTTGGGACCATTAAATAAGGTCATGCAGCTAAAACAACTAGGACAATGCCTACCACAAGGGAAGCTGTCAAACAGTGGTAGTGACAGTAGTCTGTCCTCTGGACTGTGTGATTTGCAGTCTAAAGGACCCTTTACAAAGACAGAAGGTGGCTCCCTGACAGGCACAGGAGGACAGGGCACTGACCAGGAAGCTGGAGCCAGGGATGGCAAAGCACTGTTTGTAGAGGTAGGCACTGCAGAAGAGCAGGAACACGTAGGCCTGGTGCTCCTTCCGGTAATCTCGAAGGACCTCGGAGAGCTCCCGCAACTCAGCCAGGTCAGAGGGGAACCACAGTGACCTGGGGATTTGGAAAAGCAGATGGAAGCGTAAGTCCAAATCAGCCTGGTACCTGTGAAAGTCACTTGTGGTGTCTTCTTTCCAAAGTAGCTGTATAAATGTGCTCATCATCTGGTCTTCTGGAAATACACACATAATGGGAGCCCAGTTGATGGGCAACCTGATACAACCCAGCAAAGCAGACAGAAGGGTCCTGGTCTGGAAGCAAGGGACTTAGGTTAGAATGTGAACTCTGCTACAACCCAGCTGTGTGATTTTGGGCTAGTCCTTGGGCCTCAGTTTCCTTATCTGAAAAATGAGGGCTGGTGTTGGATAATCATTAGGTTCCCATTTAGCTCTCAGGTTTTATGGTTTATTCTTAAGAAGCAAATGGATTAATTATCAGGCAAGTACTAAATGTCCTAAATTGCCTACTTTTCAAGGCATGTCGCCTCCCCCACAAGCTTTAGGCCAAGAACAATTCAAACTTCACCCTGCTCTTGAGTTTCTAAGTAAAACGACTGTTTTATCAGACAGTAACAAGCAAATTAAAGGTTCTCTGGGAAAGTACATTTGCCCTGCACTATAAACATACCTCTTGATAATATGTCAGGCTTGAAACTAACCCTTGCAAATAGCCTGCTTTTTCATCTTGCTCTTTATCTGGTCCTCAGTGTACTCCGAATCCTGTACAAGGGTTACAGTGTAAAGGCTACTTTGTCTCTGCTATCTGAATAACCCTTGAATCCATCAATGATGAATTATAGGCAAACCCTCCTAGTTCCCATCAAAATGTTTCTCTTCCCATATCTGACACCCACAGCAAAGCCTTCCCAGCTAGAGCAAAAGAATACAGTAACTGAAAACAACTGTCCTAATATTCAAATATCCGTAACATCCTTGAAGCAGTGCTGTGCCAGGCATAGCCCCACGAATTTTACAAACAGCAGAGCACTCAGGACAAACCAGCCTGGGAGGTATTACACCGTCTCCTGCCTCACCCAGTCGGTAACGATTAGAGGAAAGGTAGAGACAGCCAGGAAGAGGGGCGGACCCTAAAATTAATTCCTGAATAATTTAACGTTGTCCATGAAACGTTTCACCTGAAGACCTAATGCCTTGAAGTCCCAAAAGCAGACGTAGGTGAGGTGGGGTAGAGAGGACGATGGAGAGTGGCTGAGAGCAGTCGTGAAGAAGGGGCTGCAGGTCCAAACAGAGGCAAGGGTAGGCTGCCAATACGAGTTAGAGCTGAGCCTGGGAAAGCGACGGGAACGCGAATGGGCAGCTGAAGCCACAGTGGGAACAGAAGCGAGCGAGCAGCCTCCGTCCGGGGTAAGCGCCACAGTTCCCTCCGCACATCACCACCCCGCAGGAACCGGTCACGGGCTCAGACCGCACACCCGCGCAGCCGGCAGCCCGCAGGTCCCGGTCCGGGGCAGCCCAGCTCCCTCCCACCCGGCCTGCCCGAGACCATGTAAACGCGGCCTGGATACCAGACCCCTATCGCCTGTCCTAAAACTGAACCCCACATCTCGGCCCCGTCGCCCCTGGTCGGGGGACACCGTATCTCCGATTCCCAGACCCCCTTCTCGAAACAGGCTCGTTTCCTCTGACCCGAACCCGGGTCCTCGGCACGCACCTGCCTTCGGTCTCTTCGGCGGAGCCCCGTGTCGGTACGCGGGGCAGTCGAGTTGACAGCAAGTACAAGGCGAAGGTGCAGCCCACGAAGACCAGGAGCAGGCAGAGTAGGGAGCGCATCTCGGCGCCCGCCCCCCGTCCCGCCGGGCCGCCGGGCAGCCTGGAGCCAGCGCCTAGGACCGCGCCGCCCGCGGACGGAACCCGGGGAATGCGATCGCAGACGGACCGGGGCGGGCCCCGCGCCAAGCCCCGCCCCCAGGTTGAGCCCCCGCCCGGGCCCAGACAAACTCCGCCTTCCGCGCCCGGGCGGAGATTCCGGGGGGAAACCTTTCTTCTGGCACTTTTCCATGTGTGTTTGTCGTTCCGCTTTTCTTTTTCTTTTTTTTTTTTTGCGTTTATTTTTCTCTCTCCAGTTATCGGTAGGCTCTCTGCCAGGCGCTGGGAGATTCAGAGGCAACTCACGAGCCCTGCCCTCAGCGCGCCTGCAGTCCAGTGGCGAAGACAGTCCTGTCCCCATCCAGCCGCAACACCAAGCAAACGCAGCCAGTGTAGAAGCAGGGGCTCCAGTCACGTGTGGTGAGCCGGTCATAGTGATCACAAAAATGACCAGAATTACCTTGTATCGATGTCTACTATAATCCTCACACCAAGGTTGGTATTTTTGTCTTTATTTAACAGATGAACACTGAATCTTAGAGGGATTGACATTCCCCCTAAGAAAGTCTGGATTAGAGTCCAAGTCAATCCGGGTCCTAAACTAGTTGCCCTACACTGTGTGGATGAGGAGATGGGGCTTGAATATGCCTTAAAAGATGAGCAAGATTTCCACAACAGAGAAAAAGGGAGAGAAGGAGGTGAAGGCCCAAGTAAGGCACCAGAGTCCGGGTTCAGTGAAGTCTAAGGCTATGAAAAACGAGAGAGAAGTTAGGGACAAACTGGAAAGCATTGAAAGGCAGTCTAAGAAATTGAATTTTTAAATATTGTACATGGTGAGACACCAGCAGAAGTAGTTAAACAAGAGGATGATTTAGTTCCCCTTTTAGGATGTTTGCCCTGGCAAATGATTAGAATACATTCTGAGTTGAGAGTTGCAAGTGTACTGATGAGAAAGGATGCAGGCCTGGGCCAGGACCACAGCAGTGGGAATGAAGGGAGGAAGATGGACAGACTAGGGGGAGCTGGGTTGGCAGGACATATGACTGACTAAACAGAGAAGGGACAGAGAGGATTCCAAAATGTCATCAGCCTGAACAGAGAAAACATTCTTGTCATGTTATTCAAAACACCTCTTGGGCCAAATAAGGAGCACCTGTCAGAATTTAAAATGTACAAGGTCCTAGCAATTCCATGTCCAAGAATTTAATCTATAGATGTGCCCCTAGACAAATAAAAATATATGTTCAAAGGTATTGTCTCAGCTTTGCTTCAATATTAAGAGATTGGGAATGGCCTAAATGCCCATCAGCTGGGGACTAGTGAGGTAAATTATGGTATATTCACAAATGCAACACTAGTTGCATAGTAGGTAACCTCCTGAAAGAGGGAGGCAACTCTCCATATCCTGATACAGTTCAGTCACCAGGTAGGTAAGTTGCAGCGTTAAGGCATATTATGACTCATTTGCAAGAAGAAAATTAAAGGATACACTTTATCTTTTCAAAATACTAACGCATTTATGAATGAAATGATTTAGTGCCTGGGACTTGCATCAAAATAATGGGAAGGGCCTTTCAGCTAGAACTGCCATCTTCCAGATTCGCCAAATGACCAACACAAAGGGAAAGAGGAGAGACACCCACTATGCACTACACATTCTCTAGGCCTTTTAGAAAACATGGAGTTGTTCCTCTAGCCATATACCTGTGAATCTACAAGAAAAGTGATATTGTTGACATCAAGGGAATGGGCATTGTTCCCAAAGGAATGCCCCAGAAATGTTCTCTTGGCAAAACTGGACAAGTCTACAGTATTACCCAGTATGCAGTTGGCATTGTAAACAAACAAATTAAGGGCAAGCTTCTTGCTAAGAGAAGTAATGTATTGAGCCTATTAGGCATTCTAACAGCCAAGACAGATTCCTGAAACGTGTGAAGGAAAAAGAATAGAAAAAGAAGGAAGCCAAAGAGAAAAGTACTTGGGTGCAGCTAAAGGGCCAGCCTGCTCCACCCAGAGAAGCTCATTATGCGAGAACCAACGGAAATGAGCTCGGGCTGCTGGAACCCATCCCCTATACATCCATAGTATGGCGCCTGTAAAAGACCTCGTACTGTTAAAAAATATGTTTCTCTGAATTGGGCAGAAGTGTGGTGTCCCATCCCCAAATGAAATATTTAAAGAAACTTTGTGTCCTAAAAAAAATAACGGCCCCTGCCGGGGTGGCTCAGTTGGCAGGAGCAGCATCCCACAGACCAAGGGCTCAAGGGCTTGATTCCTGATCAGGGCACATGCGCAGATTTGATCCCTGGTCAGGGCAGATGCAAGAAGGCAACTGATCGATGTTTTTCTCTCTCCCTTCCTCTCTCTCTAAAAGAGATGGGGGAAATTCTTGGGCGAGGATTAAAAAAAAATGGGATGAAAGTTTAGGGGGTAAGGATACTAACAAACAAGACTGTCCACTGAAATGATAATTGTTGAAGCTGGATCACGGGCACATGGAGGTGGATTGTATGTTTGAAATTTTCCATTTTAAAGAAAAGGGGGGCAAATGGTCTCAGCCCCCCATTCTCATTTTCTCCCTTTAAACCCTTCGTTCCAGCTGAGCATGCACCATGTTAGTTCCTGCCTCTGACAATACTCTTCCATCTGGCAATCTCTGCCTGGTAAATTCCTATTCTCATCAACACCCTGGGCAACTGTCGCTTCCACTCAGAAGCCTCCTCCAGGTCCTACAGTCAGAAAAAATTGTTCCTTCTCTATGCTTGGGGCTCCTTCTCTGTGAAGTGTCTGTATTCCTACTCTTGCAAATACTCTGCTCCAGTGCCATTATCCATCTCCCCTGTAGACTGCAAATATCTCCACACATGAGACAATATCTTATCAAGCTTTTTTCTGTTCTGACCCTTAGCCCTGCGCTTAGCTTAGAATTGGTACTTAATAAATATTTGTTAAATTACTAGGTTAGGTCTGGTGAGGAAATGACGAGTTGTTTGGTACATGCTGATTTTGAGAAGTCATAGGAATACAGAAAGTGAATGAGAAACTAGTGTTACTGAGTTTGTGTCAGCAGTGTGCTGGGGCAAGGAACAGAACAGTGAAAGGAAGGCAAGGTTCCTATTCTTAAGGATTTTACTTTCCTTTGGTTGGGGGAGAGCATGGAGAAAAATATAATTATAGAACATGGTAAGTACCATGGAGGAAATAGACATACAAAGCTCATTCCACTCCAGAGAAGCAAGTGTCATTATCCCACTGCAGATGAGTAGATGAGCAGGTGTTCCGATGAAGTCACGTTGCAAGTCCACAGCTGGGAGTGCTGAACAGGACGCAGCCCTTGTCTGCCCCTCCTCAGCCCACGCACTTTCCTCTGCTCTGTACTGCCTCCCAACAAGCCACTGAAAATTCAGAGCTCACACTGAACATTCAGATCTGGACGTCATCTGTCTCTGGAGGAAAGAGTTGAAATGAGGGGAGGGGAGAAGTAATGGCAGCTGACATTCACTAAGTACTTAACACACTCAAGACCTCACGGTGAGTGTTTTACATGCAAAAATGTGTTCATTCCGTATAATATGAAGCAGGGACTCTTAACAGCCCCCACTTTACAGTCCAGGAAATGGAAGCTTAGAGAGAATTAAGTCAACAGAGGTCAAACACCAGCAAACACAGTGCCTATTCTCTTACCCTCCCGTACCTTCATGAGAGAGAAGTCTGAGACCAGAAGCCAGGTTAGGAAATAGTGGAACCAGTGAATGAGAGCCAGGTGGTTCATTCAAGGATGCTGGATGAGCAATGGAGGTGAGGAAGAGGTGCCCTGTGGGCCCAAGCAAGACTTTTGGAAAAAGGACCAGTGCTCAGTGTCAGAAAAATTCAGCAAGGAGACCTGCAGGTTGTGGGATTTAGCCAACACAAGGTGGTAAAGAATGTTTGACAGAGTTATTTTGGAAAACGCAAAATTCCCTACAGGCTCGAGCCTCTTGCTGCCCCTGATTTACCTGCCCACCCCCCCCCCCCCCCATCCCAGCTCTCGTTCTGATTCCTCCTACTCAACTTGTCTGCTTGGGAAAGAAGCCCTGGATTGTGCTCCCCACGCCCAGTGCACCTCCACTCTGACCTCAGTCTCCCCATTTCTCCTGGCCCCGACCCAACATGTGCAGAGCAACTCTAATCAGCTGTAGCACGGCCTGCAGGCTGCACCAGCCTCCATCAAGGCCTTTCATTTAGAGTACATGCCCAGCAGCCTGACCAAGGACAGCTTCACCCCCAACAAGGGGCACGTGCTGGACCGGGAAGCAGGTGGGTAGCAATGGCTCAGAGAAGTGGAAGGGGAAAAAAAAGCAAGAGGTTCCAGTGGGGGTGAATTAGCCAGGCAATTACCATGGCTCTTTGTCAATAGCACTCAGTTGCCTTTTCTGGCTAAATCCGCTCCGCACAGAGCAACTGAAAGGAGCAGCTCTGACGACCACATGATTGTGCTTCCCCACCACACTCCAACCAGTAACTGATTAGAGCAGGATGGCCACCATTTCCAAGAGAACCCAATGGCTGGTTCCTCTTCCTGAAGTTTGCGATTAGGCCACCTGATGAGTGGCTGAGGACCCAATGGTCCCAAGGACCCCTATGCCGCCCTATGGAGAGAGCTGAGCTGGGTCAGTGAGACTCATGGCAGAGCACGAGGGTTAATAAAGACTCAGGAACTCTTGCAGCTGAAGGCAAGGAGCTGCTCTCATGCCTGCCCTTGCTGAGGTCTCATGGTTCAGCCCTTCCTGGGCTTCTACAAGTAATCTCTTTAATACAATTTGGGTTAGTACGAGTAGGTGTCTGTCGCTGGCATCCCAGATCTCCTTGACCAGGATAGGCTCTTGCAGGACTGAGAGCACAGGGCAGGAGCCCAAAGGTGGGTGCTTCCAAGTTTACTGTTTTGGACATAACAGTTGTGTGTTGATGTCTAAATCACAGTGGCGGTGACCTTCAAGTCCTATGGTTGAATCCACTCCGTTCTGTTCAATAAACATTTAATGAGCACCTGCCTTGTGCCTGACGTGGTGCTAGGTATTAGGGCGGCCAAGACAAGTGAATGTCTGCTGCTTTTGAGATGCTCACAGTCTTGGTGGGGGAAGTGACACAGAAACATATTACAATATGGCACAATAAAGATAGTAGTAGAAGCACATACAAAGTTGGTGGAATAAAAGGAGGTGGAAGCGCACCGTGGGAAAACAAGCAAGGCTGCCTTTGAATCACAGCTTGGAGTCCTCCAGGAATGCATGATTTTAGCCAAGGCACTAACATGGGAGAGAGCAAAATCTCCCAGGCTTCAGGCTAGGTAGACATGCTGAAGAACGGTGTTGAGAACATTTGGAAAGTTCAGAGGCGTGGAGAAAACTAGCCAATCCCCCTGTTTCTCAGGGAACCTGGGAAGTGGGCTAAGGGCCTCCAGAGATAATGGAGACAATAATAACAAATGTGTCTGGGGGAGAAGTCAAAGGAAGAGAAGGGTAGGTGCCTCCAGCAACATGCCCTATGGCTGGAGGAGGGGAGGCCTTGTCTTACAACTGAACATGGTTCTATAGGCTCACAAGATAATGGAGTGTTCATTTAATAAATATGTCCCAAGTGCAGACACCACATGAGTGCACAGCTGCTGCCTTGCAGAGCAGTCTGGTGGAGAAAGATACATATTTGTCGGGAACCATCCCACTTGGTTGCAGGGACTGTAGCCTCGCTGACAAGCGAGAGGGCCCCAAGACTGGAGCTGAGCAAGGAGGCCTTGGGAAAATAGGCCACTGAGGAGACAAAACCTGTCTCCCTGGCAAGGGCGCAGCCCCTGCCTCCCTCACATCACCCTACTTAGCCCTGAAGCATGGCTGGTTAGTCATTGATGGGTAAGACCCCTCGATGGCCCAGGCAACCCAAGACAGGCACAGTCACATGGGGGCCATCAGGGAAGGACTTGAGGGACACGGAGAAGTGGCAAAAGACCCTCACCCCTCAGCTTTGTCAGGGCCGGGAGTCCTCATTCTATCGGAAAGAAGTCTTATCTCTTGGCTGCTCTGCTCCACCTACCTGACCAGGGTCAGTGAAACAACACTAAAGGCAGGTACAGCCCTAAACTGGATCAGGTAGATCCCGGGGGCAATTAGGCCTGGAAAAGGAATGTATTAAATCCTATGAAACTTACTTTGCTAAGAATGCCCTCAAGTTAATGAGTGCTGATGTTTGGGGTCCAGCATAGGATATGATCAGTTTCCCAGGTTTCAGGGTCAAATGGGTGCCACCCTCTCTACCAGACCCTGACCTCAGGCAAATCTCTGTGTTCCTTCAATTGTTATCTATGATCTCTATCTGTTTTCAGTAAACATAGCCTTCTGTCATTGATTGATGAACTTTGCATGCATGCTGTATACCCCTGTGCACATCATTCTCAATAAAAGCCACTTCAAGAGAACGGCTCTGGGCATTCTCCACTAAAGGGAATCTCCATCCCCTTTTTCTGGCAGACTAAGAGTGCCTGGAATGACTTATTTCTTTCATCTGCAGCAACCTGCGGGGACTCTGCGGGACAGGGTACCCCCCTCATCTGGCACCTGAACAGGGACCCCAACACATATTAAGCAAATAATTACACAAATAAGTGTATAAAAATACAACTTTAAAAAGTCCTACGAAGGAGAAGTCCAGTGTGCTGTATAGAAAATGAAGTCCAAGCAGATTCCCCCTGAACAAGTGATAACTGAGCTAAGATCCACACTAAGTAGAAGAAAATTGGTAAATATGGTCAGAAGAGGGTAGACTGCATCTTGGATTTGTGTTTCAGACTGATGCAATGACAAAGTGAAGGGAGGAGAGGAGCGAAGATAACAAGAGACAGAGTCCAAAGTTCCAGGGGCCTTGGGAGAAAGATTCTGAGAAGAGAGTGGTCACCCCTGTAACTGCCTTCAGTTCTCCTGATCGCTGTATATGAAACTCATTGAAATTCCTCTCCATTCCAGTGGATAAACTCCCTTCCTTACTTTACTCATTTACCCATTTATTCATCCATGACTGAATTAAATATGAATTAAAAAAATGCAGAACAAATGAAACTCTAAAAAAAATTCAGGCCTATAGTATATTTCTCTCTCCATCCATAATGGCTGAGGAAAAATGGGAAGGAGGAGGGGTGATAAAATGTCCAAGTGAGCAGGACCATCGCCGAGACTTCTTTCTTTCAGAGTTTAGTCATTCACTGCAGGCACCCCTCACTTAAGTGAAAAACTCTGCATTGCATATATAAACATGTGCAACACAGAAATATATTTACAAAATTCTATAATTTATGGAATGGAGAGCCCATTTCTTTAAAATAAGGGTTGTTCTCACAAAAAGCAGGAAGAGAGTCTCTTGGATGAGGAAGTTCCCTGGCCTGTGACACTCAGGAATTGCAGGAACTTCCTGCAGTGGCCACTGCTGTGGAACGTGTGGCGTTCGCCCCTTTGGCTCTGTCCCCGCACTGGGCATCTGGCCCCACGGATGGTCCTCCTGTGGTTCTGGCCTCTCTGGCCTCGGCCTTCTGGGCTTCTTGGCTTGGCTGCTGCAGTCATTCCAGATTCTTGGATCACACAGTTCCAGGGAAGCCTAAAAATTTCTCAAACCAGAGGCTTCCAGTGCTCCCAAAGCAAACTGGTTTATGCTTTGAATTCACATGTTAGCAGCACAAGTTATTTATCATTATTCCACAAGATTAATATTAATTACCTCAAACAGGTGGGATTGTGTGTAGCATATATTCATTTTGCATCTATGCATTTTCTAAATTTCCTTTAATAATCATGGGTTACATTAGTAATAAGGAAAAATGAACATTTTTACCACTTTAGAGAAGGTGGGAAGCCAGGGGTGTGGCTTTTTTGCCTTCCCAGAGCACACAGTCCAAGAGGGAAGCTGGTGTTGATAAGGAATAGCTCTCTTATTGCATAACAGATAAGCTGTATCAAAATAAATAAAAACACATTCACATTTATCAAACCACTCACGGATGTGACACCCATGAGGTTTCAAAGAACCCTTCACAAATTTGCCTCCCAGACCCACACAGCCCCGTGAGGTAGGTGAGTCTCCATCCCCTTCTGTACGTGGGGGCCTGAAGGAATGTGGCATAGGGAAAGTGGAGTCGAGGCCAGCCAGTCCTTCCCTTTGAGATGCTTGTACAGCTGAACTGCCTGAGTGATAGGCAGCAGAATCACAGGGTGGAACAAATGAGGCCCCAGGACACAGCGAGACAAGGCGCTGGGCTGCCTGGGGCCTGGCTATTTCTGACTTGCCCTATTTAAGGGCTCCCTTCCCAGGACTGCTCTATAATCCAAAGCCGTCTGACATTTTGCAATGTGACATCCACAGGGCACTACCAGATAAAAACCCTGGTTTCTCTGTACTTTTTGTGCCTTGAGGAAAAGGGATGGTGAAGCTTTTAAAAAGCCTATAGTAGTTTTCTTGATGTTACTGGTGCTCATGTGTCCTGACAACAGTTACATCTGCAACTTTGGGCAAAGAATAGGTTGGAAGGCTGTTTCAACATTTTCCATCAGTACAAGATCATACCGACACAACTGGGGCCTGTAAAATAAGATAGAATATTCTTGTCAATAAGATAATAAAAATACCCTAGTTTAGCAAAATAAATTGTATTACATCTTTAGCATATAAGATGATTTAGCAGTTATTTCTAATGTTATAGGAAAATGCTTATGGTAAATAAGCGAAGATGTAAAATTTTCTTTGACATATAACTTCAACTATGTTTAAAGACAGTGATAGCAGATTAGAAAGAACCAAAAATAACAGTGGTTGCCTCTGAATGACTTTATGTTGGATGCTTCCTAACACTTTTTATACTTTCCAAAGGTTTTAAATGAGCATGTATTCCATTGGTAATCACGGAAAAAAGTATTAAGAGGTCATACAGTTTAAAGTTGTAATGACTCTCCTCTTTGGACAAACTTGTATTATTAAATATTTTAGGGTACCCTAAACCTTCAGGAAAAAAGGAATTTATAAACTACTAACTGTTCATGTCACTTCCTGACTCTATCCATGGATTGGATGCTAGGACAATATGTGGCATTAGTAACAAAACATACATACAATCACAGCCTTTTCTTCTCTCCTTTGTTGCTGTCTCTCTCTACACATGCACACACACACACACACACATTCTTGTTTACTTTTTTTTGAACCAACTGAGAATAGGTCATTTACCACTTAATACTTTAGCATGTATTTCCTAAGAAAAAGGATATTCTCAGTGCAATTATCAAATTTAACATTTATATGGTACTTTCATACTGTATCAACAGAATACAATGTTCTAATTTTTCCGTACCATTTTTAAGACTAGTCCTTGTTCTATCACTTTGCCAAATTATACGAAGTTTTATTTTTTTTTTACAACAAATTACCAGCTTGCAAAGCAATGTGGGTAGAGTGGTTAGGGAAGAATTGTATAACTCTAAACATATAACATTATTTCTCTAGTTATTAGGTCATTTATCTTTAAGTGTGTACCAATAAAATTCATTTGGATTATGGGGCTAATTGTTTTTATCAAGTCTATTCTTGGGATAACTCTGGGGCTTCTGACCAAGCTGGAGGCATAGGTAGACACGCTTCACTTCTTCACACAACCAAATGAAGGATAACAACCAATTTAAAAACAGAAACAATCAGATAGCCAGAAAATCAAACTGCATGGAAGTCCGACAACCAAGGAGTTAAAGAAGAAACATTCATCCAGACCAGCAGGAGGGGTGGAGATAGGCAGCTGGGACAGAGAAGATGTGCAGCAAGGCAGGCTGGCGGACCAGGCGGTCCCATATTCACATTCAGATAAACCGGGAGGAACAACTGTGGAGTGAAGCAGACTGCACAACCTAGGGCTCCAGAATGGGAAAATAAAGCCTCAGAACCTCTGTCTATAAAAATCTGTGGGGGTTGCAGCAGTGGGAGAAACTCAGTCTCACAGGAGAATCCATAGGAGGGACCCACAGGGTCCTAGAACATACACAAGCACACACACCTGGGAATCAGTACTAGGGCAGTATCTGAAAGGGCACAATTCACTTGTGGGAAGCGCGTGAAGAGACTGAAAGCTGGGCAAGAGCTGAGCAAGCAGCATTGTTCCCTATCAGACCCCTCCCCCACATACAGTGTCACAACACAGCAAAGTGGGTTACCCCGCCCTGGCGAACACCTAAGGCTCTGCCCCTTACAACAAACAGGTGTGCCAAGACAAAGAAATATGGCCCAAATGAAAAAAACTGTTCAAAACTCCAGAACTAAGAGACAAGGAGATAGGCAACCTATTAGATGCACAGTTCAAGGTACTGGTGATCAGGATGCTCAAAAAAAATGACTGAGTAAAGCCGCAAAATAAAGGAAGAAGTGAAGGCTATACAAAGAGAAATCAAGAAAAATATACAGAGAACCAACAGTGAAGGGAAGGAAACCAGGACTTAAATCAATGATTTGGAACAGAAGGAAGAAATAAACATTTAGGCGGAACAGAATAAAGAAACAAGAATTCAAAAAAATGGGGAGAGGTTGAGGAACCCCTGGGACAACTTTACATGTTCCAACATCTGAATCATAGGGGTGCCAGAAGGAGAAGAGGAAGAGCAAAAAATTGAAAACTTATTTGAAAAAAATAATGAAAGAAAACTCCCCCATGTAGTGATGGAAATAGACATACAAGTCTAGGAAACCCAGAGAGTCCCAAAGAAGTTGGACCCAAGGAGGAAGACACCAAGGCACACCATAATTAAACTTCCCAAGATTAAAGATAAGGAGAGAATCTTAAAAGCAGCAAGAGAAAAGGACACAGTTACCCACAAAGGAGTTCCCATAATACTATCAGCTTATTTCTCAAAAGAAAGCTTGCAGGCAAGAAGGGGCTGGAAAGAAGTATTCAAAGTTATGAAAAGCAAGGATCTACATCCAAGATTACTCTATCCAGCAAAGATATCATTTAGAATGGAAGGGCAGATAGTGCTTTTACCAGTTAAGGTAAAGTTAAAGGAGTTCATCATCACCAAGCCCTTATTATATGAAATGTTAAAAGAACTTACCTAAGAAAAATAAGATTAAAACTATGAACAGTAAAATGACAACAAACTCACAACTATCAACAACTGAACCTAAAAAAACACAAACAAACTAAACAAACAACCTAGACCAGGAACAGAATCACAGAAATGGAGATCACATGGAAGGTTATCAGAAGGGAGGGAGAGGGGGCAGAATGGGGTAAGAGGTACAGGGAATAAGAAGCATACTTGGTAGGTACAAAACAGACAGGGGGAGGTTAAGAATAGTACAGGAAATGAAGAAGCCAAAGAACTTATATGTACGACCCACTGACATGACCTAAGGTGGGGGTAATGCTGGAGGGAATGGTGGTACTGAGTGGAGGGGGATAAAGGGGAGAAAAAAAATGGGACAACTGTAATAGCATAATCAATAAAATGCACTTAAAAAGAAAGTATATTCTTGGAGAACCCTTCACTTCCTTCATTGTGATTGATGAAGTCCAATTACAGCATTAGACGAAGTAAACTAGACAAGAACCAACAGCATCTTTGGAAATTAGGAGCTTGTCAAACCCTGCCAATGTATGGCTCACCTCTCTGGATGGGCAAGGGACCTTAACTTCACTCGGAGAATCCTGAGCTTGTACTTTGGGCCTACTACTGATCCTGTAGAGAAGACCAAGGAAATGGCTGCTACTTTCTCCAGATCTTGATTAAATCTTGCAAGCAGACTCACTTGGTGGTATTTCTGAAATTTTGCAGGTTCACTAGAAGGAAGAGATAACAATTTTAAAATGGATATAGATTGCTAGTGAAAGAAAACAGTTTTGAAACTTACAAATCACAAGTGAGCAGGTAGCCACTGGACTCCATAGCCTGCAATGGCCAACTATTGTGGGCAAAGTCCACTGGATTCCACAGGACTGTGTAAGTGAAGCAGCTGCCCCCAAGACTGATGAAAGGCTATGATTTCAGAAGGTGTGTGCTGCCTGGTATATGCCAGGCTGCATCAACTCTCGACACATGTCTCTAATCCCCTGAAAACTTCTGCTAGGTTGAGTATTATTATCTTCATTTTACAGACAAGGAAACAGATGCTTTTAAAGGATGAATTTTAGCCCTGGATGGTGTGGCTCAGTGGATTGATTGGTGGCCTGTGAACTAGAAGGTTGCAGGGTGAATGCCTGGTTTGGGGGCCGGGTCCCCAACTGGGGACCTAATAAGAGGTAGCTGATCGATCTCTCCCATATAAATGTTTCTCTCCCTTTCCTTCTATCTCTCTTTCCCTCTCTCTAAAAATAAATTGATAAAATCTTTAAAAAAATAAACAATGAAATTTATAGTATACCAATTATATCTCAATTTTTTAAAATGTTAAAAAAAAGAAATACATCTAAAGCATGGATATAGGGAGAGTCATCAGGCAGATAGTAACCTTGAATGTGACTCCCTTTGTACCCATAGTCTGGTAAGACTGGATAAACTCAAAGTACATACTATCATTTCCTTCACCTTAAATTGTGAAAATAATACTAAAATGTTAAAGTTTGCCTTGCAAAAAGAAGTAGCCATTATCTCCCACATAGGAGAACATCTATTTCCTTTTGCCCCCATATATTCTCTGATTGGCGATGACTTTTTCACAAACATGACTCAAATGGGAATGATTAAACATGACTAAAGTAAAGATGTAACGCTCTCTATCGTAGTCAAGATAAAAACCTCCAAACAAATTTAGTTCATACTTGAAACAAATTTACTATGTCAAATTAAAACTTCTAAGACACGTAAAACAAATATGTAACCAATTACTGGCATGAATATTCAAATTTTGCTAGGTGAACACTTCCCATTATATAACTGCACAATCTCCCCTGTTATTCCTTAGAATCTCCAGATGAGGTCTCTGCCTAGCTTCCTCACTGAAGGCCACAGCTCGTATACTACCTGAGGCTGATTCCTCAAGACGTGCTATGCCTAGCGGTGTTCTTCCTGAAAATGCTGCCCCGCTGTGGGTTTGAGGATATTGATACTATAGTGAGGTCTATGAAAAATTAATGAAGAACCCTAAAAACAACAACAACGCACTACTCACAAACCTTAAGTACGGTGGAGTGGAGGGAGCAATACAGCTCAGTGGGAGGAATGCAATGTAGTGATTAAAACTATGGGCTTTGGGGTTGGACAGACCTGCCTCTGATCTTACCTAGTTCGCCCCACTCAGCCAGCTGTGTAATATTGGCCAAGTCACTTGACCTCTCTGAGCTTCAGTTTTCTCATACGTAAAATAGAGATGGTAATACTACCTCACAGGGTTTTAGTGAGAGTTTCATTAACCAATGTGTATAATATGCTTACTCAATAAACAAAGGCTATTATTATTATTATTATCCGAGGATGCACTGTAAAGTCACCTCTATACCACCCACCCACCCACACTTTCTCGATCTGCACAGTGAACCCATAAGGTGTTGGCCAGTGTCAGATGACATTCTACGTGGTCCTCTGTGGGTGAGGCCAAGAGACAATCCAAGGGCCTGGCAGGCAACAGGACCCAGGAAACATTTCCCGAGTAAATGAATAAAATGAGCCTCGAGGTCCTTTGCTGAAAATAAAGAATTTGAGGTGTTTTTTTCTTTTTCTCAAATGTAGAAGTAATAGATGAAAAAGTTATTAATTAACTATTTTAAAACATATATACATATATAATACATACACACAATATATACAAAACTGAAAAAGTAAAGAGAATCTGAAAAAAAAGCACTCAATTCCACCCCCAAGGGGGAAATCTAATTATTGTCATGTTTCTATTTCACTTTTTTATATTACTAAGCTAAAACTTTATAGATAATACATTGTTAAGTTTTATACTTAATTTTATATTCTGAAGTTTTTCACTTAGCATATTATAAGCATTTCATTTAATATGTTGCCTAAATAACCTCAATATATGAATAGTATTCCATTATATGGGAATATCTAAATTAACCATTTCCTCATTATTGGATTTTTATGGTGTTTCCAATTTTCTCTTGGAAGTTACATTCTCTGGGTTTCACAAACATACATGTGTATGTGTGTGTGTATAGTGAGCTCATAAAAGAATAGAAACATGTGTATGGGGGTGGGTGTCTGTGGGGATGGGGTTGTTGGGAGGGACCAAGAATTTGCACTTTTATTTTATATACTTCTTTACTATTTAAATCCTTGGCAGCAAGCAAAGATGACTTTTGTAATTAAATGTTTAAACGAAGGAAAGAGATGAGGGAGAAAAGGAAGGAAGGAAGGGAAAGAGGAAAGGGGAAGAAGGGCAGGGGAGGAGAAGAGGGGAAGAAGGGAGGCAGAGGCCATCCCTGCACCAGTTCCATTTGTAAAGAGCTTGGGAGATCAAGAGCCACAGAAAGAAATTAAACTATGTCCCCAATATCTTTTGTAGACAAAAAGAAAGTACAGACATAAATAAGAATAGGTATATTTGGGATTTAATTTCTCTGAGCAAAGAGGAAAATAGCATACTGCAAACTATCCCAACCCAACTTACTGATTGATTTTGGATTCTGTGGTGTTTCCAGCTTTGTCTCTCAATTTGATTGTAATGGACCCTCTTCTTATGTTCTTGTTCCAAGTTATAATGTCCACAAAGTAATGATATACTACAAAACCAGGAGAAAACATGGTAAGAGAAAGGTATTACCAACTGATCCCCTAAAGGGTCAGTTCCTAAAAACCCAACCTCTCTAATAACTGAGTCTCTTTTTTAATTCCTTTCCAGTTTTCCTGCAAACATCCAGGGCAGAACTTTCTAACACTCCCTTCTATCCTCTTTGGTAAAGACGGCTTTAGTGACAGCAGGATTCAATGGTATCCAGGCACTATGTTTAGGCAGCACCGTTGAATCAGTGTTCCCACCTTCCTGACCAAGGTCTCGGGGCCCATTGCTGAGCGTGACTGGCTTACTTCAATCCCTGCACCTTTCAGAATATACCAACAAGATGGCCATGTAGAGACCCGACCCCCCCCCCCACAGCTGACAAAGTCTTCCACAGCCTGGGACATGTCCACCAGCCTGCCCAGCCTCCCGCATCACTTCCTCGGTCACGCCGCACCACCTGCACTGCCAAGTCCCCTCTCGCTCCTGGGCCTTCCCCTCAGTTGGACACTCTTACTTTGCCGCCTTTGCCAACTCATTTATCAGGTTTCAGTTTAATGTCATTTCTTCCAGGAGGCCTTTGCTGACCCTCAGACTAAGTCAGGTCTACCTCCTGGGGTTCTTATCATGCTTGAGGATTCTCCTATCATTAGCACACTTTACTGTATTTGCAAAAAGCAAGAAAAAAAAGTTAATTAAAAAAATGGTAAAAATGGTACATCTATAAAAATATTGCCTGAATAATGTTTTATGGGGTTACAAAAAAAAAAAAAGTAAAACTAAAATGTACTACAGCGATAACTGGGAAGGAATAAAGGGATGATTTTTCCTTTTTGTAATTTCAGCTATAATACCTTATAGGCACTAAATAAATCCCTTTTCAGACAAATGAGAGTGCATGATATGTTCAGAGAACTCTTCTTCCTCTCTGCTCTCTGCTCCCCAAGGTGAAGGATGTTTTGGGAAAATGGGGATCCCACCATGATAATCGGATTTGCTATCTCTTGGTCAGGCTTACGGAGAAGGAGAAAGAAGCTCAGGGGGATGGCTGTCCCTCAAAGGAGTAAGGGAAGCCCTGGAGTTGCCAGTTCATGACCTGTTATTGCTCAAGGGGTTGTCTCATTTGGACTCGGCAGGCACAAAACCCTGGGCTGCCACACAGAGCTCTACAGGAGGAAGGAAACCAACCCAGTGATCTGCCCCCTTTTCTACAAGGGTTGCTTCCAAGAAAAGTGAAAAGGGAGACAAGATTACAAGACATACATCTGCCCAGGAAAATCCCTACTTGCTTCTCAAGGCATCTTATCTGTTATTTATTTAACTCCCATCTGGACTACTCAACCATGGCCTTCATTCGCTAAGAAGCAGCCAGGAAGCTGAGACTCAGCCATTCCAAAAAGAAAAGGTTTGGGGAAAAGCAAACGACCACATTCATCACTCACTGCAGAACGGTTTCTTCTCAGCTGTGTCAAAGTATGCTTTAGTCATAGGAGGATACTTCTCCTTTAAATAGTCTTTCCAATTATCAGCATAATACCCTATGAAACAAGTTGGAAATATGTAACGTTAACATGTATTATGTAAATGTAAGAGCAGTTGGGGAGGTACAGAGAACAGTGAGTTTTCCCTCTGTCACCACTGAGATAACCTCCCTCATGCCCACCCGCACGGTGAGGACCTGAAGGGCCCCCAGGCAGTGCCTGCCCGGCACCCACCACACCCTGCTCGACGCCCTATCCCTAAGAGCTGTGGCATGAAGAAAGGACCCTACAGTGGTTATGCCCCCTTTCTATTGACATTACATTACCCAGCCCTGGTTCTCAGTAGTCGGGGTGGGGAAGTGGAACGGGCTAAAAATAGCACTGATATTTTTCAGTAATACATTCATTTTATAGCTAAAACAGGTTCAGATTTATACCTAGAATAGCATCACTCATGCAAAGCAATGTGCTTTCTTGAACTACAGTAGGGCCCCTGCTTTGTTGAAGTATAATGGGGCCTCTAAATTGCACTGAACCTGGGTTTGCCATGTGCATATGTCACTAAGCAGATGAATGACACCCTTCCCGTCTGGGCCAGCAGGAGGTTCAGTACCATCAGTGGGGCCCCTCTCTTTCTCCTCCGTCCCCACGCCTAGCACATGACCTCTGCCTTCTGACTTCATTGATCTGGGGTGGGACCTAGGCATCGATAATTTAAAAAAGCTCTCTGGGTAATTCCAATGCATAATCAAGACTGAGAAACCTTTGCCTTTAGCAGGCCCTGATGATAACTGGGAGCAATCAGAAAATTCTCATGACCACATGGTTCCAAAGTTCTCACTGTTTCTATGAACCCTGAGCAGATATCCAATCAGCCTTCATGGCATCTATTACCACACCCTACCCCTGAACAGGGCCCACAAGAGCCGGAGTGTGGCACGAAGGCACTTCTGGGCACACCTTGTTGGGAGGGGTAATTCTGCAAGGCTCATCTGACAGAGGGGTCACTGTGACCTTCCCCCAGCACAGAGGTTGTGTGCAAGGGGACAATGTTCCTGTCCCCTGAGAACAGGCTATATAAGGTGCTGTGACCTGGATGAGCTTAGAAACTCTCCTGGAACCTTCTTTTTCATCCTAGAATAGAGTGTCCAGAGAGGTTGCACTGCCCTCTGGATGCAATCCTATACAGACCCCTTTTCTAACACTGATTAGGAGACCCCAGAGGACTTCCCATAACAAATGGGCTGAAAAAACTGACTATATAAATTTTCAAAACGCACACAATTTTCAGGCTTATTTTTAGATAGTAAAATGGTACTGGGTTCCTCCCCAAAATATGCTTTTTTGTTAATCAGAGGAGAAACTGCTTGTTGGTCTTACCCAGAAGCGGACAGGGCTCCTGCCATGATGGGCCACAGCTGACGCACTTGCCGTTCCTATAATCCCGGTAGGAGTCACAGGGATATGCAGTGATGGTGCAGTTCTCTCTCAGGGAAGAGAGATACAGGTACACGGATCTCTGGTGGTCACACTTAAAATACTGGAATCCTGGGTTGTAAAAGGAATGATTAAAGTATGGAGCAGTTGCCCTGGCTGGGCAGCTCAGCTGGTTAGAGCGTCATGCTGGTACGCCAAGGATGCAGGTTTGATCCCCGGTTAGGGCACGTCCGAGAATCCACCAATGGAGGTATAAATAAAGTGGAAAAACAAATTGATGTCTCTCTCTCTTTCTCTCTCTCTCTCCTTCTCCTTCCCTCTCTCTAAAATCAATAAATAAAAATTAAAAAAAGAATAGAGCGGTTGTAGCATTTAATAATAGTATATCACATATGATATGCACACACACACAATGTATCATCTGTCTCCTATACACCAGGCACTGTACTAACAGCTTCAAAATATTCTATTCTATTTAATCCATAGATCATGAATCAGGCTGGCAAGTGACAGGAAGAAAAAAGAAAATAGGCACGACTGTCCCCATTTTACCCAGCAGGACCTTGAGACGAAACTCAGAGAGGTTAAATGACTTGACCAAGGTCACACACCTATTATGTGGTAGAATCTGTCCTTTGTCAGTGAAAGAGAGGAGAAAAATTCCATGGTAGTCAGAGATTCCCCAGAAGTTTTCAGCAGAAGGCAAATACGTTTAAATGATTAAAGATATCAAAAAAAAGGAGCCATGGTGGCGGGGTGGGGGGATTGATAGAGGAAGATCTCCAAGGAGGGCAAGCAGAGGAGATAGCTTTGGAAAAGGATGGTGGAAGACTCCATCCTAGGTCTGGATGAAGTTACTCAGAAAAGGTTCCAAAGATGGGTAAGCAATGGAGGTAAGGATCTGAATAGGAAACAATGAACCCAACGAGAAGAGGAGCCACGTCTGTGAGTAGTGGTTTGGACAGGTTCTGGATGCTGGAGTCAGATCAACTTTTCCTCTCTCTCCAAAGTTTCCGCTTAGGCCCACTTAAGAAGCTAATATTTATTTATTGTTCCTGGGTATTCCAACTGCAAAAACAATGAATAACTCTACAGAGGATGTCCTTTATAAGCAGAGCATGTTACCTTCGTCTGCTCGTGGATATGGTTACACTGTATTACACAGGACAAGATTGTTTACCATTTATGGTACCATAGGGTGGGCTCTATTATGCCATTTCATTGGGATCATTTTCAAACAGCGCATCATTCCCATGAGGCCATATACAGCTACCTTTTGTAACAAGATCCTCTTTTTCTAGATCTATTTCCAGGACTGTTTAACTTTCTCTAGCAATGGTGAAATGCAAATTTAGAACACTTAGGGATGGGTTTTTCATTTGGTCCCCCACCCCACTTTTATGTTGCCTTCCAATTATCTTTTTCTTTTTTTTTTTTTTTATTCTCACCTGAGGAAATTTTTCCACTGATTTTAGAGAGAGAGGTGAGGGTGGGGCAGAGAGAGAGGGACATCAATATGAAAGAGAAACATCAATTGATTCCTCCTGTACATAGTCTGACCAGGGATTGAACCTGCAACCCAGGCATGTGCCCTGACTGGGAATTGAGCCACAACCATTCAGTTTATGAGATGATGCTCCAGCCAACTGAGCTCTACCAGCCAGGGCCAACTATCCATTTTTGTTTTGTGATTCTTTTTCTCATTATAAAGTAATACATGATATCTGTCCAGAAAAAGTCCAGCCATTGTTAATATAATGAGAACAGTCTGCACAACATCAAGGTGATCCGGAAGCCAAGGAGAGTGGACTGGAATGCACATGCATGAACAATGATGACTTCACTGTACTAGTCAGTAGGGGTGGTAGACCCCGTTGAGTATGTGTACTGTGTGGCTGTCACATTCAAAATGACTGAGCATGTCGAGCAACAAACCTGCATCAAATTTTGTGTTAAACTTGAACATTTCTCTACAAAAATTATTTGGATGATTCCAAAGGTCGCAGCTATGGGCAACTGGTGATTGGCAGCTGCATCGAGAAAATGCATCTGCTCATGCATCACGTCTGGTGCAGAGCTTTTTGGAGAAACATCAAATCACCCAGCACACCTACAGCCCAGATTTAGCGCCCTGTGACTTATGGCTTTTCCCAAAACTAAAATCACCTTTGAAAGGGAAGAGATTTCAAACGATCAATGAGATTTGGGGAAATATGACAGGGAAGCTGATGGCAATTGGGAGAACTGTGTGAGGTCCCAAGGTGACTATTTTGAAAGGGACTGAGGCATCATTGTCCTGTGTGCAATGTTTCTAGTATCTTATATTTTCTTCAGTAAAATGTCTATTTTTCATATTACATGGCTCGATACCTTCTGGACAGAACTTGTATGCTTATTATGAAAATACAAAATAGAAAATAATGATGCAAAAATCACATAGAGGTCTAATATCTAGAGGTCACCTTAATAATTGTTTGGAGCATTTACATTTAGTCTTCTTTTCTATACATATACATATACAAATATACACTTAAAAATAAGTGGGGATCATATTGTATAGTTTGAATCTTTTTCACTTAACATCATTCTGTAAGCACTTTCATTAATCTCTGAAAATATGATTGTTAACAATTATATTCCTTTTGGTGGGTGTACCATACTCATTTAACAACTTTCCCATGTTGGACATTTAGATTACTTCTAAAAATCTAACGACAGGGTCTGGCACAAATAATGCCTCCTTTTTATTACAAAATCTTTTATTACAAAATCATAAGCATGTAATTCTGTAACATAACAATATCACACTCAAGCATACCATAATGACATTTTAGGTGAAATGTTCAAATTGCTGTCCATCTCATACAAGACATTCACGTACCCTACCAGCCACACTCGAGCAGGCATTACTTCTGCCAGACCCTGTATTGTAAATAACACTGTGTTAAATACCTTAGCTCTCTAATTTTTGCCTATATTTCCTATTATATCTCTAGAAGAAAATTCCAGATGTGAAATTTCTAGATCAAAGACACACCTTTCCAAGAGAGACCAATAATTGATAATAGCTTTTAATCATTGAATTATGGTTATTAAAAGTAGTATATTTGAGCCCTGACCAGTGTAGCCTAACCAGGTCAGGCATCATCCCGCAAAGCAAAAGGTCACCAGTTCCATTCTCAGTCAGGGCACATGCCTGGGTTGTGGATTTGGTTCCTTGGTCCTAATCAATGTTTCTCTCCCTCATTCTCCTTCCCTTCCCCTCTCTCTAAAAATAAATAAAATCTTCATTTAAAAAAGTAGGATTTTTAAATAGCAATTTTTAATTTATAATTTATATTTCTACCACCTCTACCTTCTCAGGAATACTTTGTATTAAAAATTATCCCACATAGGATATCAGATTTTTTTTTAAATATGCCTTTTTAAAGCTACAAAATATAAAGTATTTGCACTTACCTCCAAAGATTGTTTTGGGGCAACCAGGTTGATCCAATCCTCCATTTGGGTAGAAGTCTATGTTTCCTAATGGTTCCTTGTAGCCCAGTGCTAAAAGAGAATATACCATGCTTTATACTGCTTTGAACTGTTCACATCTCATAGCTCATTTACTTGCAGGATTTGGACAGGGGTATTATTATTATTATAAATTTTATATTATTATTAAGTATGAAAAATACTTAAATATTTTGCCCAAAGTTACCCAGCTAGTTAGAAAGCACCTTTGCTGTACACACACACACACACACACACACACACACACACACTAAGAGACTATGAACAGAGTGATGGAATTTATTTCTGATATTTCTGAGACCTAAGAGAGTTTGGCCACTCATTCACTGCAAGGTTGATAAAAGGATACTTTCCTTCTTTACATTTATCTGGAGCCCTCTATTCCCTGGGTGCTTCCTGAGCCTCTACTTGCATCTGTGTAATTCTTTAATAAGAAACAGGGAAGAATAAACTTTTACTTAGTAGAAAAAAAATCTTTAAAATTTTTGGACCTAGGACAGTAAAGATATTGGAAACTCTTCTAGAAAACAGGGACCTAAAAAAACCGTAGTTAGATTTAATAATTGCTTATTTTCTTTAACCTTGCAATGCCAAATAATCAGTAAAATGATTGATTAAAAAGATTATTAATATGCATATGAAGGGAGACCCAAAAAAACCAGAATCAGCTTCTGGAGAGCAGGCCCCTTGTAGTGCAGGCTGCCCCAGCTAGGTGAGTGTTCTAGCAACCCATCTGTATCCGTGTACCAGCTGACACTGTTGTGAGAAGCTGCATTCAGCTTCAGTGAATGATTTTTTGGAAGATTCTTTCAACATTTATGCCCATTTCATGATAGGTGATTTACAAACACACATACCTGCCCACACCACGATGAGTGGTCAACAGTTTTTGACCAAAAATGGCAGGACCCCTGTGCCCCACCCTTGCTATTCACTCAGTCTCACACCAAACAACTTTTTTTCGTTTCCGCAGGTGAAAAAAGTCCTCAAAGGGAAATGTTTTGCTGATATGGAAGAGGTATAACAAACAAACAAACAAACAAAAAAAGGCAGAAGCACTAAAAGGTATCAAAATCGACAAGTTCAAAAACTGTTTTGAGCAGTGGAAAAAATGTCTTGATAGGTATATTGCACCAAATGGAGAGTATTTTGAAGGTGACTCAAGTTTAAACATGTAAGAATAAATACACAATTCTTTTATAAATAAATTCCTTTTCTGGGTGCCCCCATATATATATAAATATATATATATTTTATACACAATTGCAATAATAATATTTATTATATATTGAGAACTTATACGTGTTTGTGAGCATGATGCTAGGTGTTTTACACATCTAATTTCACAATGTCTGCAAAGTAGCCATTGGTAAATTCAGATGAGGTAACTGAGAAGATACTGAGGCTCAGAGGAATTTAGGAACAAACACAACCCACTAGAAAAAACAAAATCTGGAACTTGAATCTATCTCTGACCACTACAAAGTTTATATACCAGTACTTTCTAGCCACTGGTGTGGCCCAGTGAGTTGAGCACTGGCCTGTGAACTGAAACGTTGCTCATTGGTTTGATTCCAGGTCGGGGCACATGCCTGGGTTGCAGGCCTGGTGCCCCGTAGGGAGCCTGCGAGAGGCAATTGACCGATGTTCCTCTCCCTCTTTTTCTCCCTCCCTTCCTCCCTCTCTAAAAATATAAATAAAATCTTTTAAAAAGAAATTTATATACTTTCCTTCAAAATTCACTTTCTCTCCAAAAATAAAAAATAAACTGCCCTATTCCATCAAGCATTAAAAAGTCAGTGAGGGTCTGCACTTAAGTAAGGTGATACTCTGCAACCACACATTAAGAATACAGCTGTTTCACAGAGACATTTTCCTAAGGCAAACAATGGCTGAATACCACACCAGCATGCCCAAGACAGGTGGTCAAGGTTGGTTTTTTTTTTTCTAGATGGTTGTATCACAAAAAGTGCACACAATTAAAGGATCACTCTGCTCTGTCCCCTCAGCCCTCCCCAAGATCCTACTCCAGCTCTTCTCCCAGACATCTGGATATAAAGACCTACCCGTAACATCCCCCCAAACTGCATGATGTGTACCCAATCCCAGATAGGAAATCAGCACCAAGAGAGACAGAAATGGCCAGAAAGATCCCAGAGAGGTGGCAGTTCAGAATCAATCACTCTGTGTAGAGAGATACACTTGACCATGTATTTCTGCTTTAGGAAATAATGAGAACTAACAAAAACAGAAAATCATGCATCAGGGACCAGTTGTATATATGGAAACACTTGTCTACAACTTGTGCAAAGCAGCCTGTCCTTGACTGGTCAGGATGGTCATTTTAAAAATAAGAAGAGACGATGGGAAAAGCACCTCCGCTCCAGCAAGAGACCCTGGGAATCCTGGGCACCTGGGTTCCCTTCAAGCATTCTGGGTTTTGGAACCCTGCCCCAAAAGGGGGAATCTGGAGGAAGCTGATCTGCCCCTGCATGACAGTCTCTCCCAGGAGAGGACTCCATGGGAGTCTGGGGGGAGTCACTGACACACAAGGACAGGAATGTTACCATCAATGTCGGAATGGATGACATCAACGAACTGCGCGTCACTGGGATCTAATCTGTCCTCCGGCGGTTTCTCGTTGTATAAAGGGCCGGCAGGGTCGAGACCTGGAAGGGAAACAGAGCGGGTTTGGCAGGCCCACACCATGAGTCACCTGCAGCTGAGCTTTTGATCCCCGCCTCCTTGAGGAGGCTCACAGGCTGCAGGGCACCCTTAGGTGGGCAAGCGCTCACATTCCCATGCTGCTCCGTCAGGCTACTTTCCACTGCCCTGTAGCCTTTTCCCACAGTAGAAATGGTTCCTGGCGGTGCTCGCTGAGAACGGCATCCCGACTCCACCGGGATGCATATCTTGTGCACAGCTCAACAGCAGAGCGCACAGACACATGGGGAGCAGAGGTGCGGGGATAAACTGGTTCCCCAGGAAAAGGCATCTAAGGGTGCATGTAAAAAGCAGACGCTAAACGTATTTTTATCCCATTTTAATAGTTTCCATTTTTATTCATATATACTAGCTCATAAGTTCCACATCACAAGCCGGAGAGAGGCAGGGCAGCTATTGTTCCCGTTTTACAGATGAACGGACTGACGTTCCGGGAGATCCCCTGTCTTAACCAGAGCCGCAGGCTCACACTGCTGTCACCGCTGAGTTCGGTGAGCTCGGTAGCAAAGGGCGGAACTCCCGGTCAGGCCAGGTCTCAGAGCAAGTATTGAAAAGGAAAATAAAGTGGGTGAATAAATGCCATAAATGCCTGATTTCTTGCTCTTGGTCAATGTTAGCTGGGCGTTCCTCACCATTATTGTGAACCAGCTGTAAAACAAGACATCAGCTCCCATGATGCTGTAACCACACAATAAAAACTTTATACTAAAAAATAAAAACAAAACATGGGAGGTTCAAATAAGCTCTGCTCACTAGAAACCTAAAGTGAAGGTTTCAAGAAACACACTGAAGATTATATCTATGAATTTCATTTTAAATGGCACCTCCCCACTTCCTGTTGTTACGAACAAAATCAAGGATAGCACCTTTGCCTCAACTTTCTTGGTTCTAGCCTCAACTTCTCCATTTCCCCCAGCACTCTTTCTTCCTTGAGGCTTTTCTTTATCTGCCTCATATTCTTATCTCCTTCTCCTCCCACCCCAGGCTTTTCTGATCCTCCGGTCTGCTCCCAATTGAAACTGATGTGGGAGGAGAGGGATGAACACTCAGGCACCCAAGGTCACAGGACATTCTCAACAACAACAGCAAAAAAAGAGCAGCTCATAACTTTGGGAAGAGTTTTTGCTGGGGAAGCCTCTTCTGCTCCTGAGAGAGCACCACTTCGGGTGTAAGAAAATGAACAGTGAAACAGTGAGAGCCCAGTTCATAGCAGCCTCCACATCCACGGTGGATACATTGGCTTGCTAGATAAAGTCTAAACCAGGGCAATTTTAAGAGTGATGAGGGTGCTATTAATAATTATACCAGGATGAAGGTGCAAATGGTGACTGTTACAGTAAACTTGGACATAATCATCTCCTTAGTGATAAGCCATAGCAAATGATCAGTTTATAATGTCAGCCAGAAGCCACAGTTAAACTACCCTAAAAAGCCATGTCAGATGGATGTGACATGGAGCCCCAAACCCAACACCAGCCAACTGTGCCGCCTTAGGCAGGTTAGTATACTTCTCTGAACCTCAGTTTCCTTATCTGCAAAATGGAGGTAGAGTTGATGGCTGCTTCAGAGGACTTATAAAAGTACTCCTAGATCTGAATCCAGAACATTTTGAGATTATTATAGATCAGAAACAAAATGAAAAAAAAAAAATGGAGCTTTTTCTTGTTGCTCTGAGGTCACCAGAAAAGTGTCTAGATAGTGATCCCTGTCTTCTACATCAGCATTAACTGGTTTGAGACTTTGATGACATCAGACATTTTACACACAGTTTCGAGAGCCTCTTCCTCTCATCCCCAAGGTCACCGAGAACTTTCTAAGGCAATGCTGCCCAAGAAAAATATAAGGGGAGCCACATATATAATTTAAAAATTTCAAGCAGCCTTTTTAAAAAAAAGGAAAGTTAATTTTAATAATACATTTTATTTAACCCAGTTTATTTAACCCAATATATCTAAAATATTATTTTGACATATAATTAATATTAAAAATTTGAGAGTAAAAATTTTTTTTTGTACTTAGTCTTCAAAACCCAGTGTGTATTTTGCACTTACAGCACATCCCAATTTACATTAGCCATATTTCAAGTGTTCAACAGCCACATGTGGCTAGTGACTACTATATTGAACAGTCCAACTCTATGTTCCAACCACCTGCTTCTTTTGAATAAAAGTATAGACTCCTGTCCTGGCCAGGTAGCTTAGTTGGTTGGAACGTCATCCTGATATACCAAGGTTTTGGGTTTGATCTCTGGTCAGGATACAAAGAAGCAACCAATAAATGCACAAATAAGTGGAACAACAAATCACTGTTTAAAAAAATGAGGGAAAAAAGTATACACTCCCAGATCCCAACCCCAGAGATTTCCATTCAGCAAACTGACATCATATCAGCACCCAAGGTAATTTTCACCCACATTAAGATTGAGAGTTAAATTGAGTGTATTATTGAGTGATGTAGGGACTTGAGATATTTTAAAATCTGTTCATGCTCTGCCATCTTCTGCTGAAGAAGTTAATGAGAAGGAAATCCAGGAGCTGTGCCTGGACAGGAAAAGCAAAAGGAAGGGCAGAAGAAAGAGACGAAGAAACCATTCAAGCCTAGATAACTAACAAGCAGAACCATCATTTGGGAGGTAGAAGTAAATTGTGTCCTTGGGTAACGAGCCAAATTCCCACGCCATAATCCAGTGAGCCCGCTTGGGCGAGGCAGTGGGAGGTGAGTAGAAGAGAGAAATAAATGCTTGACCCCGACACTGCTCTCAGGGACAGCTTATAACAGTGGAAAATTGTAACAGTAGGAAATTGTAACCCATCCCACCATTGTTTTGACATTGTTTCTGTACGTGCTGACTCTGACTAATATGTAGCTTGTAGATGAACAGCATGTTTATATAAGGATCCTAGGAACTAGTTTCAAGATACAGATGCCGGCCTTTAGGCATCCCAGCTCTGGGAGATAGGCTGACCTTCATCCATGAAGCCAGGATAACATGAAGTGGGACGACATGAATCTGGGATGACGTGGGGCCAGGATGACTAAACCAGGATGAGGTGCATCAGACCACCACTTGCCTTATGGGAACGAACTGTGCTAGTCTGCATGTAGAGAACTTTCAACCCTCTCCCTTGATCTCTTTGTTCTGCCCCTTTCTCCTTCCTTATAAAAACTTCTCCCTCCACTGAGATGGGGAAATAGGCTTGAGAAATGTTCCCCATCTTCCCAGGGAGATGGGCTTTGAGACATGAGTCCCTCATATTCCAGATGGCCGACATCTGCATATAAACCACTTTCTTTTCAGCACCTGCCTCTGAGTATTGGCTTTCATAGCAGCAGGCAGCTGGACTTGCATTAGATTACAAGCTGAGATTGAACTTGGGGCTCAGGGAGGATGAAGGATCAGAAGAACTTGGGAGAGTGAGAGAAGATAGAAAATTGTGCTGTGGACCAATGACTGAGTCCAGTTCACAGACCAGGGCCACGTGGGCACGGGAGTGGAATTAAGGTTGGCTGGGGAAATTTCCATGGTCAGACACCAGGTTATACTGGATTCACATTCAAAGTAGCTGTGGAACTGGTTTGCTGGGAGGTTGAAGAGTGAAATGAGGGGTTAAGTAGAACAAGGCAGTGTTGGTCTGGGACTAATACCAGAGAGCAGATTTGCTCATCTCTCCCCAAACTTTGTGGTCAGTGATGTCAGGTTGGTTATCTTGAATTCAGCCATGGTAGGAGTGTGTATATACCACGGAAATCAGCAAACACTACAAATCAGGACTTTTGCTTTCTTCCTTCCTCCTCCTCCTCCTCCTCCTCCTCCTTCTTCTTCTTTTTTTTTATGAGTTGGTCACCTTCTAAACACCACTGGGAAAAGTCCCATCTGCCAGAAGAGGTGCTCTCAACAATTAAGGGCCACAAGTAAATTCAAGCCATTTGTCTTTTGTACCCACGAGGGTATAGGAAATTTTTTTAAAAGTAAGAACACATTACTTTCTAAAACATAATACTAATTTTTAAAACTGAAAAGAGCTTTTCCTCAGAAAGCAAGTAAATAAGAATATGAGGGCAGACTTGGTCTTTGGGGTGAAAGTGAGGAAAAAAATAGCCAGGAAAAGGAATGCGACCTCAAGTACCAGCAAATGGTGTGTCTGGGCGTGTGTGTGTGTGTGTGTGTGTGTGTGTGTGTGTGTGAGAGAGAGAGAGAGAGAGAGAGAGAGAGAGAGAGAGGGAGAGAGAGAGAGAGAGAGAAAGAGAGTCAGAGAAGGAACAAGAATGACTTGTCAAGTTAAGCGGCACATTCAGATCTGTAGCCCTAAAAGCTTATCTCCCAAATGTAGTTGGTTTGCATCGTCTACCTCTCCCCCCGTCCTTCCTCTACCTTCCAGATTTCCTAGAATTAAAATAGCTATTTCCATGTGAGGATGGATTCTAGGAAAGATATGAATGGAAGAAGCCTTAAGTCTTTGAAAGAGAAAGCCTCTCTCAGCCCTGCCTTTGCAGCAGAAGAAAGTTGCTGGAGCATTAGGCAAGAGAACCCAGCACGAGTATGTTTGAGATTTGACCTGCTGTGTTGTGGAATGTTTTTATTCAGTTTTAGCTTGAAAGCTGATATTCAGAGAGTAAGCCCCAGACATCAAAATTCCCATCTCAATTTCCTATCATGAAACTCCAGCTGTGCCTGGGGATAGAAACCAATTACATATATAGTTCAAGCTATTCTGATTAAATAAAAGGAAGAAAGATATCTGCTTGAGGCACTGAGATCAAATCCCCATGGGACATAAGAGAAATGAAGTCACCACCAATATTTCCTATGGCATACACAATTTACAAAGTGCTTTGCACATGTCTTATTAAATAATAACCTGGAGTCAGCATTAGTATGGTGTTCCTTTTGCACAAGAGGACACATGCTCAGAGACGTTAAATAATCGGAAGAGCTGGCTTCCAACCCAAGGACTTGGGCTGTCTCTCAGGGGTGTCCAACCTTTTGGCGTCTCTGGGCCACACTGGAAAAGAGTTGTCTTGGGTCACACATTAAACACATGAACACTAATGAAAACTGATGAGCCAAAAAAAAAAAAAAAAAAATTATGATCTTGCATTGGGCCGCATTCACAGCCATCCTGGGCCGAGCGTTAGATGCCCCTGGCACACTGCCCCGGTGAACACCCGGCCCAGGCCGACCCCCCCATGCCCGTTCACAGGAAGCCTTACCTGTAATTCTCCCCAGCTGCCCATAGTACGCCTCTCCAACAAACCCCGATATGTGAGCTCCCAGACTTACTCCAATCATGTAAATGTTGTCAAGAGAGGCTCCTTCTACCTGGAATTTCAAGAGGTCCATCATAAATTGTGAGGGCCAAGGAACTGACATTTGGAGAATTGTCCTGTCTGTTGATTTTGGGGAACCATTTCTAAGCATCTCATATCCATTATCTCCCTGAAGTGTCACAACACCCCGGCAAAGTTACTACTATTCTTTTGATTTTACAGAGGACGAAACAGGCCCAGAGTTGAAGTGACCTGCCCAAGGACAGGCAGCGGGGAGAGGTCAGAGGAAGATTCATACTAGTCTGTCCGCCTCCAAACATATGCCTTAACCTCTAGGCCATGGTGTCTCTATTTCATGTTTCTTCTAGAAACCAAGCCAAGACATCTTTAAAACCTTCTCAGTCGGGAAGAAGGGCAACAATACATTTTGATGAACTTTTTATTTTTTTTCATCTTCACGCTGGCTCAATTATATAAATTCACCAAGGAAAGGGAAGGAAAGAAGGAAAGAAAGTAAGGTGGGAATGGATCACATTGACAACAGCCTGCTGAGATAGCCTGTCATGAGTCATTTTAATATTTATTTTTCCAGCCCTGGTTGGTATGGCTCAGTGAATTGAGTGCTGGCCTGAGAACAGAGAAGTCACCAGTTCAATTCCCAGCCAGAGCACATGCCTGGGTTATGAGCTGGGTCCCCAGTTGGGGGTGTGAGAGAGGCAACTGATCATCTCTCACACATCGATGTTTCTCTCCTTCTCTTTCTCCCTCCCTTCCTCTCTCTAAAAGTGAATAAATAAAATCTGTTTTAAAAGTTCACTTTCCCAGGGCCGTGGCTTAAGTGGGGAGCTCTTGTAAAACTTATGCCACTGTCGGCCACAGTGACTCCCTGTGAAATAGTCACAATATCATGTCACTTTTTTAAAAAATAAAAGGGACAATGCATGAGATCACTAAGTAAAAGTTAAGATTTATTTAATGTTTTTAAGTTTTCTAAACACAGAAATCATATATACACAAAAATTCTCATCGGACCATGTGTATCAGTTTTGGTTTTGAACAATATGGTCACTAAACTTTTGGTATTTCTAGGAAAAGAAGCAGCTATAGAAGCTAAGGAGGCTCTAGTCAGTAAAGGCAGGAAACCCTTAGAGAGAACCTTCTCTACCTATAGGACACCTATGTGTGAGTTAGAAAAATATGCCCCTTCCTCAGGACATTTTGCTGTCATTTGCTGGAAAATTATCTTAATAAATACATAAACCTACAGTGTCTGCAATGACAATGATGCCCCCTTAGACAGGTGCCTTGTGCAGTGAGCCTCGTCCCCTCTAGCCCTTCCCTCCACCTCCCCGGTGCTTATTGGATCTGCAGAATAGTTCCCCCGTCCAATGCAGATATGTATGGGCTTTAACTCTTCAGATAATGGGCCAGTTTCAATTTAGCCCTGAATCATCTAAGAAAATTCTCCCTTACCAACATTTGGTCAATAAATTCCTTCAAGACTTCTGCTACGTTTCTGGTCTTACTAGAAGCATGGTTGTATACTACAGTTGTAGCTCCTCGATTCCAGTCAACAACTACCACGTTCATGTCTTCTACAGAGAGCAAACTGTCTACCAATTCCTCTATCCAAACTGGAGGGGAGCCGGTGGGCCTGAATCCATGGATAATGAAGGTAGTTTTCTTGGTCACGTTCAAGTTCCCCAAAAACTTGGAGCTGATGATTTGTGCGCAGGTCGAATTTTTCCTTGTGTAGAGCAGCAGCCTCACATTTAGTCCCGTACCAACCACTGCACTGGGAAGGCTCAGTTTGGTGAATGAAGGACATGTTTCACCTGTGTCTGAAAATGAAAATTAGATGGCATCATATGACAGTTCTTTCTTTAGTTGGGCATCAAATCTTATACTCATTGGAGTCCTGTGTGCCTTACTTACAGCACCTAGCAAGGGGCGAGATCTAGTTACATGAGATTGCAAAGTCATACCTGATTCAGAGTTCATATATAGTAACTTTTTCACCAGGAAAACCATTTTTCCAAATTCTACCTCCTTCAAGGTCTAACCCCAAAAGTCACCTCAATGAAGCCCTCTCCCAGCTATAAGAAACTGTCCCTCATCCCAAAATTCCCCAAACTCTTTTGAGGACCTCATTGACAGCACAATGAAAATACCTTCAAGGGTGTATTATGGGTACTAAGGGACATGTACGTCTACCCTGCAATCTCTTTGGAGTGGTGTCTATAATCTTCTGTATCCCTCATTGATCCCAACACACAGGAGAGGACTCAGGAACTGACAGTTCATGGTCCAGCGCCTCTTTCCTTTTCTAGAGCACCTGCCTAGACAGCAGTGGAGAATGTGGTGGGCCTGCCATGAGCTGCTCAGTACCGTCAGCATCTGAAACTGTTGACCACAGTGGCATTTTGGGACCCTCTCCTTCTTTGCTACTCGATGCACCACCTTCAAACATTCATCCTGCTGCAAGGTTCTAAGGATGGTCTTAGAAGAAAAGTTAGGGATGGGGAGGGGACAGCGCAGATGAGCCTGGAGCATCCTCTCACGGCAGAAAGTAAGAAAGGGTTTAATAACAAGTCCCAAGGATACAGGATCCAGCTTGAAGGGACTTCCACTAGCCAGATCTGGGATAATTTAATAATTAAGGACATTAATGAAGTATAGGCCCTTGGAAAAAATTAGGAATCCAGGATTCCAGATAAATAAAGGCAAAAGGAGGACTTACTTCCAGTATAATACTGAATGCCAGCTGGTAATATGAAGCGAAAGCTGGAGTTGATACTGACCGTTTTGCAATCACCAAATAAAGATTGGGCCCTGGCTGGTGTGGCTCAGTAGATTGAGTGCCAGCCTGCAAACCACCAGTTCAATTCCCAGTCAGAGCACATGTCTGGGTTGCGGGCCAGGTCCCCAGAGGGTGGTGTGTGAGAGGCAACTGATTAATGTATCTCTTGCACATCAATGCTTCTCTCCCTCTTTCTCCTTCCCTTCTCCTCTCTCTAAAAGTAAAATAAATAAAATCTTTTTAAAAAATAAAATTGGTTAGGCAAGAATCATCAAAGGATACTGATCCGAGCTGGGGTGAGTTCTGAGAAGGAGCACATGTGTATGGGCTTAAAGCCTCCCACAGATTGCTTATCAGTGATCAGGGGAAACGTAGTAATATACAGTAGAGAAGCTGAACAACAGCTTGACTAGGTTATCCAAACGAGCACCACCAGTGAGGGACAGATGGCCCGCATGTGCCTCTAGCTATAATGCACAGAGAAGGACACAGCATCACCTGTGCAGTATTTCAGTGGGGAGTGCATAACCTGAATCTAACTGCAAGGGAAAATCAGACAAACACAAAATGAGGAATATTCTATTTCTTAAAAAAGGTCAATGTCATAAATGACAAACAAAGGCTGGGGAAATGTTCTAGGTTAAAGGAGACTAAAGAGACAGAATAAATAAATGCAATACCTGGCCTTAGATTGCATCCTGTAAGGGAAGAGAAAAATACTATAAAAGAAATTATTGGGTCATTGGCAAAATTGGGATAGGGACACTAAATTAGATAAAAATTTGATATAATGTTAAATTAATTGAGATTGATAATCATATATGGTTATGTAAGAGAAAAATTCTAATTCTTAGGAAATACAACTGAAGTGTTTATAAATAAATGTCCAACAGCGTCGAATGGTTCAGAAAAATACATCAGGGGTGGAGAAATAACAAATGATTAAAGCATATGTAGTAAAATATTAACAGTAGGTGAATCTGTGTAAAGTATTATTGTTGTTCCGTGTATTTATTCTTGCAGCTTTTCTGCAAGTTTAAAATTATTTTCAAATAAAAAGCTTAAATAAAAAGAAAGGGGACAGGACCATATCAATGACATATGTACGTGTATGAGGCCGGAGGGAGACTCTGAGTTCTGATATTAGAAAACGAAAGTAGATAGGAATGCTTAAGACATCTGCTTGAAAGGGAATAAGGAGTTAGAAATAAACTGAAGATCATGTTGCAAGATAAAAGAGGTGGTAGAAAGAAGGGCTTTGGAGTCCTTAGGTAATGAAACAAGGGTGTTACTTTTGCAATATTTTATCAGGCATTGGTCAAAAACCACAATCAAATAACAGTTAAAAATAAACCTCAGCTCAACATTGGTAATAACACAATAATATAACAATTGGGAAGACTGTATTGTATTTTTAATTATAAGAACTATTTAAAATTGTGTCGTGACCTACTTTCCCACATGCTGCTTGGCTGAGAGAGAATAGCCAAGTAGGAGGTGAAGTGGAACAACAAACAATCCCTGGCTGCAAGCTGGAGATGGCCCTTCAGGATATTCGGGAGAGCGGACAAAGGCCTGCGATGGTCATTCTTGCGGGGGAGGGAACAAAAGGGGAAGCCTGTTAACTTGCAGCTGGCCAGCAGAAGACAAGACAGCCTTGGGAAACATCTGTTCCGACTTCCCCCAATAGGAATTTAGAAACCATTTGCCTTGGGCCCCTATTCTCAGTTAAGCTACGCTTGCTCAGAAATTGCTGCTCACTGATTCTAAGCCTCAGAGTAGCCCTCCTCCTGAGGTCTATAACCTTTTTTAATAGCCTGGTCTATTCAGGTAGGCTTTTACTTGAAACCTCTTGCAAAGGCTCTGGTACTCAGGAGTCCGTGAAGTTCCAAAATAGAATGAGCTAAAACTCAAACAGGAGGTTAAAAATTAAGGAAGCTTTGAAATCCCTCACCCTAGAAAACAGTGAGCACCCAACTCACACATTCCTCCTTATATCCTACCCTGTCAAGTAGCATGTGCAGTGAGGCACGCTCACAGTATACTATCTTTATCCCCCAACCAAAGCTTTATTGATAAACAATTGAGAAATAACACTGTGTAAGTTTAAGGTGTACAATGTGATGATTTGATACATATATATCAAATACACACACACATATAGTGAGTGATTACCACATGAAGGTTTTTTGTTAACACATCTTTCACTTTACATTATTTACCTTTGTCTGTGTGTGTGTGTGTGTGTGTGGTGATAAGATTTAAGATCTACTCCTTTAGCAAATTTCAAGTATACAATACAGTACTGTTAACTCTAGGCATTATTCTGTGCATTAGATGTCAGAACTTATTCATCTACGTGCATATGTTCTCCATCTGTTGGCCCCTTTCATTCTCTCTTCCTATGGATTGAATGCTCCTGGAGAGCACGGACGGAAACTTGTGCTTGTAGGACAAGATCCAGAGTACAAACCTGACTAGTTAGTCACTTTGTTGAATGGGAGGTGTCACAGGGTAAGTAGGGCTGAGCCTCTCAGTCTTTGGTATCAGTAAAACTGGATTTCGTTCCTGGTGTGGGACTGACTCACCAGGTGTCCTGGGGGAATTATGTCTTCTTTCACATACCTGTCCCAGAGAAGAATGCTGTGGAGATAATTATGAATGGGATTTTACTGGGGAAAATAGAGATTTCTTTCCAGAGAAGGGAGCTGTTTTCTATATCTGTTTATTTTGAGGCAAATGAGCAATATTGAGCCAGTGTGTCTTAAGTCACATATCTGAGCCCTTGGAAGATTCAGTGAAGACTTGTGAAGTTTGGGCCTGAGCTGTTTACCAGCAGCAATTGCCAACTTTCATATCTATGGAATGGCTCAACCAACCTCCTTGACTTCCTGAGTCTTTATTAGAAGTCCTTAAAAATGCAAAGTTAGTGAAAGGCAAAGAGAGCAGTACAAATGAATTTTTATTTTTCATTTGATAGAACTCAGCTTTCATATATTTTTAGATGTCCTAGTTATTTTTATAACGGCACTGTGCTCTGGAAAAGTCCATTGCAAGTACTGGGTGAAAAACAGATTTTCCTAGTTCCCCTCTTCAGTACTAATTATTACAACAGCTTTACATATATTATCTCCCATCCTCAGAGGAAATTTATAGCTCATTCAACAAGAGTCTGCTCTATACAAAGGTGTATGCCAAGTGGTATTTCCATGGGAAACTCAGGCACTAGTGGAATAAAACAAACAAGTATGAAACTGCAACCTGTGATATAAGCCATGCAACAGAGATATGGTGTAAGATGAGAATTTAAATAGGGAGTATGGTCTTGTCTGGGAATCAGAAATGCTGTTCTCTTATCATGTGAAAATAATGTGTCTAAATACCAACAACGGGGCATTTCTTTCGCAAAGTATAACAATGTCATACTAAGGGACAAACTCAAGTTCCCCAAACTATTAAATTTTAGTTTTATAGGTTTTTACTTTTATTACCTACACATAACATTTTAGGAATTACATCCTTTTTCACTATGTGTTTTATTTGCCTTGAATTTCACCAAATGACAGTAAAGCCATAACTTGGCTTTTTCTTTTTTGTTAATATTTGTCTAGTGTGTTTTTATTCTTTTAAAACCTTTGAATCCCTTTAAGGGATCTTACACATAGCATCTAGCTAGGTTTTATTTGATGATCTGATCTGAGAGACATTTTTTATTTTAAGATTTTATTTATTTATTTTTAGAGAGAGGGAAATAATAATGTGCAGTTACCTCTTACGCATCCCCTACTGGGGACCTGGCCCACAACCCAGGCATGTGCCCTGACTGGAAATTGAATCAGCGACCCTTTGGTTCACAGGCTGGTGCTCAATCCACTGAGCCACACCAGCCAGGGTAAGAGCTGTTTTAAAAAATAAACAAATAAATGACTTCACATTTATTGGCATAACAGATATAACTGCTGTGAAGGCCACAGAAAGGCCTTACTCAGATCTGTTTTCAAGAGATCCTACTTCAGGGGGCACAGTTGAGTGTGCCTCCAG